TACCTGTACGTACTTGATGATGGTTGTGGTAGTTCCCTACATTTTTCATTTTCTTAAAGTACAACTGTCGTGACGTTTGTATTGAAGATTCTGACTTCGGTGTTGACAGGAAGTTGTTTTGAGTACCAGGTGTTCTTCAATAGTAGGTGTGCTGAACTTGCTTTACCAATTGGTGCCTTTACATCTAAGTCAGATCCTGTTTGTTTATTGATGATGCTAACCAGGTATGTAGAGCCTTCCAACTCTCCCACAGCTTCTCCATCAAAAGAAATTCTGTTGGTGACCGCTGAATTGTATTTCAGGATCTCACTTTTCCTTGTGTATACTGAAGCCGACTGCTCCAAAGGTTGCTGTTACTCTGACTGTCTTCACCTTTTCCAAAGTGTTCTGCCCATCTGTTCTTGAATCTCAGCGATTGGCTTGCCTTCTGTGTATTCGGTCTGTGCCGTGGCTTTTTCTGTTCTTGACGAGTGTTTTTAATTACTGTCTTCTTCTTCTTCCTCTCTCAAATCTTGTCAGGGTTTCGACAGAGATCCATTCTTCATGATGATGCTTCTTACGACCCAGCATTTCTTGACATGTTGAAATTAATGTTTCTTTATTTCCTTTCGATTTGTTCTCTATGGTAGTTTCCTCCTATTTCACCGAATTTAGTAAGGTTTGGAATCTGCTGCTGATAGCAATCTTGAATTCGTTGAGTTTGTTAATATCCCGAGGGAACGCTGTACTAAACTCTCGTAATGCTGTCTGTCCAATGCTTCTTTAGCTTCAGTTTCAGCTTGCCCATCACCAGATGGTGATCTTTACTTTGTTCTTACGTCTTTCATGAATATACAGGATCGTCGTCTGACTCCATTCTGATTGTTGTATAACGATGATAACTAAGCACATATCCCGTTTTCGATGTAAATTAAAGTCAAATACTACTCTAGAATACGCTCCAATTCTAGAACCCGTACTCGAAAACATTCCAGGTAAGCAATCGCATATCTTACGTCAAAAAAACCCACATATTGACTAAACAAATATCCATTCCACCTAGTGTTTCCAAAGAAGAATGGAAAGTTTTGCGCTCACTGCAAGATGATAAAACGATTGTCATTACCAAGGATGACAAAGGTAATACGACAGTTGTCATGAACAAAAGAGATTATGAAGAAAAAGCTCTTAATCATTTATCGATAGGAGCATATTTAAAAATAGACTTTAAAAATGGTCAAGTGGCTAAAAATAAAGATAAATCAGATTGATATGATAGAAAGAAAAGTCAATTTTCGATTGATTTACTCATTATGAGTTTACTTCAAGAGTACTTCCGTTTTGATTCAATATAATGATTACTCAATGTAGTATTCGTTTTCCTTTCTCGTATGATATTTTATTCTGTATAATATACGATATTCTTGTATTCCATTGACATGAACTATGCTCAGTATGTGATTTGTTATAACTCTAAGTATTTTTCATATGTGATTATATTCTAATTATTAGTCAAAATGGGTGTACAATCAATATATAAATGAGTGTATTTTCTATTAGAATGGTCGTCGTCGTTATAGTGTTTTGGGTTAATAAATCACCACTTATACCAGTCTTTGTGTTCTTACTTTCGCGTCGTGGGAATTGCAGAGGTCCCTCGTTCCGAGTATAAGTGATAAACGTTCTCGACATAACAATCAGCGACGACCAGATACAAAAAGTAGCATTAAAAAGGCCAAGACAATAAGCATTCAAACGGCAAGTTATAACGCAGAGACAAGTGAACTTCTGAAAGAACTAAAGCTATTTATTGGCGTTTCCCTATGGTTTACTTTACACATTAAATCTAACACCACATACCATTTCTATAGGCTATCGAAAATTCGCAAACTTGACATTCTTTTAAGACCAATAGTGGACTTCACAAACACTCCTACTACATATGCTTTATTTAAATATTTAAGCAGCTTACTGAATCCCCTTCAACATAACCTAGTCAGACGTAAAGGACTCTTACGAATCCAAATAAAAAACCTCGCAATTATTTATCAACAAATACGAAACAATGATGAGCTTTGATGTTATATCTTTATACACTAGTATCGCAATTGATAAGATGTCTAGACTTCATTAATCGTTTACTAGAGAACGATCATACTCTATCAAGTAGATGCCCGATAAGCATTAGTTCTATCATAAAGTCCCTCAAACTATGCCTAAACCCAGCTCTTCACTTTCAAATGGACTTTATATAAACAAACGAATGGATTAGTCATTGAATCTCCAGTACCTCCGACTGTTGCAAACCTATTTATGTTCCACAGTGAGACGATTATTTTTGCCAGCATCATCAGATCACGGATCTGGCTCAGACATGTGGATGACATACTTATCATGATTAAAAACTCTTAGGAATTTCTCCAAGCACATCATACTAACTTTCGAAAAGGAAGATGAACATAGTGGACTACCATTCTTAGTGTTTAGTTAAAAGGAATTCGAACGAAAGTCTAAACCTAGCCATATGTCGAAAACCGACACATTCGAATCGGTATATTGATTTTAACTCCACACATCCATTCTGTGCGAAAACTTCCTTAACCCTGAATCTCTTCAGAAGAGCAACCCAAAATAATTACCTCAGAAGTAAAGCTGAAAGAAAAAGTGAATATAGCAAACATCCTACGTTCTGACAATTATCCCAAAAATATTATTAAAAACATTAAAACAAAACTGTCCTTCGGTAAATAACAATCCTAATGAAATCTCTTGGATTGGTAATATGGTTTTACCTTACTGCCAAGGTACAACAGAGAAATTACAACGGATATTAAAAACTTACAAAATTAAAGCTTTCTATGAGACAACTAACACCCTAAGAAACGCTTTAGTTAGAATTAAAGATAAAACCCCACTCATTTCCACTCAAAATTTTGTCTATAGATTATGCTGTGTCGATTGTGATACGTTCTATATTGGAGACTTTCCGTGAGATCTCAGCTCGTGCCAAGGAAAATTTAAGTTATACAAAAAGACCTAATAATCACGTAGAATTGGAAAATTTACAAATCAACGATAGCAATCCGTTATTTTCAATAATCACCAAGTTGATATCAAACATATCAAAATAACTCAGAATGGCTTTTCCAACTGCAACAGAGGCAAGTAGCCAAAGCGTGCGCTCAACAGGAAAGAAGGACTGAATGTTCACCTAACCTGGGCTGTTTTTCCAGACAAACATACTTGGCTTTCATTTTACAATTTTTCTGCTCATTGGGATATAACAAAAATATATCTATTATTAGGATTATACATGTTTGAATAAGTGACTAGTGAGTAATGTATACTTGGATTAATTTTTAATGTCAGTTGACATAGTGAGAGAGAACTTAGAATAAAACTAGATAAAGTGGGATGAGAGAAATAATTGTGCATTAATCAATCAGATAGGATAATACAACCAAGGAATGCATAATTCATGAATACGGACGAAATAAGGGGTAATGTTGTAGCGAGCGAAGACTTGGTGGAAAAACCAATTTATTACTTAACGCGAAATTACAGAGTGCCTGTATAATGTATGAAAATCATACATTAAATACATTATTCACACATGTTCCTTCAGTTATTCTTTACAAGCTTTAGGGTTCTTTCAATTCTGTTGTTACTTTATTTGCTACCTATTTCACTTCTTGTTTCAGTAAATCACATCTGTTACTGCTACATACTACTTATATCTGTCAGCATAAGTAGCATGCACTACAATATAACAGAATCACTGGTAGATAAACGGATGCTTAGTAAGTACATATATCCAAATGGAACAAGATGTAATATAATACAAAATTGAACGGAGTAATTAGGGAAATACACAATGGTATAATTATATTCCACAAACAGGATACAATAATGGTATATGAACAAGGAATTATTATTATTCATATGCGTAGGTGTAAAGTAAAGGGTAAGCTTATAATGATACACTGGACTGTCACATGAGTACATTCTAGCCAAATGTTCTACATGTATGTCATAATAAAACTTTGCTGAAATCTTTGTTCCCATTTTAGCAGTAAATAACACCAAAATTTCCACGCCACAAAGTCACAGTATTTCAAGCTTAACAGTATATTTTGATCTACACTCAGTGATATAACATAAGTTAATTTTTCTCCCCACTTCGGTCAAAATACATTTAGATTGTAATTGATTGACTACTAAGTAGTGACCGATGTTATGAACTCTTCAGTGCAGATCGAATCCTACTGACCACGTTGCAATATGGGTACTAGTCTAGGTGACTTAACGTCGCGTGTAATATGTTAAGGTGAGAGGGTGGTTGGTGGTAGTCGACAGGAAACCCGTGACCTAGATTTCGTGCTATTTGGTACTCGTCATTAAGGTGCACCTGTAAACCCGAGAGAACTGGTGCTTCCTGATGGATATATTTAAAACCATCTATATCGGAGATCCAAGGTTTCTTTGAAGCAATTATTTCCTTTTCGATAAAGCAATGAGAAGACGTAGCTGATCTGAAAATTGTGATGTATTTGCGCTATATATTTCAAATAGTCTGTTTACACATATAAATGTCAAGCATTTTGTATCAAGATTCTGAATGTATCTTCCCAACGATTGAACCCCATGACAAAGGTGTTTCCACTTTCGGGGTTATAGTTGAATCCTGGGATGCTGCTGGCAACTGCATTACATGAAGTACTTGAAAGAGCGTGTGAACACGAGCAGTGGATTCCAAGGTTTGGATGGAAGTAGGAATCACGATAAGAAAAACGTTAGTACATTTATAGTTTTTACATGAGAAGATTCTAGAGCGCTCTCCAAGTATCGAATGAGATTTGTGTGGCGCATATGTATTTGGTGCCTCCTACCTCCAAGTACCCAGTGGTGCCGATGGGTTAGGAAATAGCCAATCAGTGTACCCTAATACAATCCTGCACACAATGTCTTAATCCAATCTATATCCCGCTAACAAAATAATCTCAGAAAAACTAGTGGTATTTCGAGTTATTTAAAATTATGGGAAGAAAATACAAAATTAGTTTCATTTTGCCGAATAAGTAACAATAAGAAAACTAATATTTGGAGAAATTAAGAATCAAATGTAAACGTTTGTACAAAACGACTTCGCTGATAATCATAGTTTGTGATTGTTACATTATATGACTAAAGCAAGAACAATCAATGTAGCAGAATAACATGAATTCATCATATTTCACGGTTCCTCGTCAGCTACTTACAACCTTAACGTAGTAACACTAATCTTTAATAAATTCACTGATAAGTGGGAAAATTTATATGTAATGGATACATCAATCGTAAACATAATGATGTTAATTTTTCAGTAAATATTCACAAGCACTAATAATTTGCAAGTAGGTTATGAAGGATGGAAAGTGAATGAAGTAGTCAAAATAGGAAAATAAAAACACGTTAAAAGAAACAATCACGCAACATTTTGTTTCTCAGTCAAATCACATAGAAACCTGTCAATCACTTGTTTATCCAGATGTTTGCCAAGTACACTGCTAATTTTACCATCAGATAATACTGAAGTCAGTTTAATGTTGTGAAACATCGAATCATTACAGTTAACATTATTGACCGGAATGGTGTTAGTGAATTCTGATAAAGGAGCACGTTGTTCACTTCTCCTAGTCATACTACTAGGTTTCAGATTAAATAAAGATGATGCAGAAAGCAGCGTAACAGTATTAACCAAGCGTTTAAAAATGTTGATAAGATCAGTTATCAGATTGTTAGATCTTTTAGCACAATATAATCGAGGTATCCAGTAACTTGTTACATGAATTAATCGAATAGAGGGCAACTGATTGTCTAAATGATGAGAAAGACAATCTACTAGATGAAAAGAAGGAAACAAAACCCAACAAGGCAGAAAATTAAATAATTTAGACTTATTCTCATCCCCTGCTAAACAGTTTAGTAATGAGACAACGGTTTGCAATTCGTTGTAGATATGTTGAACAGCGATTAGGTTTGATAAGTTTTGTTCCGTGACAGATTTCGTACAAGATGATGGAGACTGATTTAGTGACGAAGCACGTTCAGAAGCAAGTGATATTTCGTTTCTGATGAAGTCAATCCACCGTGTGTAATGTTCATGTAGATTGCTACTCATGAAATCAATATTGAAAACATTGACTACAACACAAGTTGCAATAGCTAAACCAATTGGGGAATTTTCGAAATGACGTTCATGGCCTTCGTCAGTATTATTGATATGTTGTTGATGCCAAAATGCTAAAGTTACAGCCAAAGTAAAAATCCAATCAGGTTGGGGTGTGTGTTGCGGAAGAGGGATATTCAACTGACTGCTTACTATTTCATCCACTGAATTACCTTTATTTGAATTCATAAGAAGAGGACTAATTGTGAGAGGGAGCTCGGTTAACATATCATCACCGACCCATGTGTACTCAGTTATATTTGGATTTAGTTTTACACCCGCACAATACTCTACTCCGTAAAGAATTCGGTAAACAAGTAGGCGTAAATTGACGGAGTAAGCATGAACTGACAGAAACGGTTTTCTAATGGAGTGGTGTAAAACATCAATAATAGCTGGAGAAAGTTTAACCTTTCGATACAGTTCTGTCAAATTACGAGGCCAATCATGAGTAAAATTGAACTTTATTGGCTGTTTGGCGTTGAGTTGATTGGTCAGACGATCCATATGTTGTAAGCTTACTGAAGCATTAGTTTCTTCACTAATCTCAATCAGCCTACCCTTAGGTACATTGGAACTGGAGTTTACTAAACAAAAGTGAGATGCTATTTCAAGTCCACTTTCTAGAACATTATCCATAAAAGCCGCAATACAATCCAGAAGATACTCAGTCACACTTTGTCGTTCTTCAGCACGATGTGCTTGAATAACATACTCATAAAGCGTAACATAATTTACATTGGATGATTTTACCAACCAGTTAACTAGAACAAACCATTCATGTAAACGAGGACTAGGGTAGTTGGAGTAATCTGTCGTACTATATTTTAACTGCTTACACACATTAGCACGTACCTCGAACCGCCCAGCATACAGTACACTTAATAAAGGTCGTAAATGGGGTACAACTAACGAAATACGAGAAAACTTTTGGTGGAAAACATGAGACAAAATAATAGCATCATCTTTGCAGCTAAAAAAATCTAGGAGATGGATCGGGACGTAGATTAATTCTTGCATAATATTTGCTTCAGTTTTAGTAGCTTGAGCAGGAAACATGTAGTAAATATCATAACTGGATGCTATAAACGGACAATGTAAATATATGGATAATGAAGCAGCATCAGACTGAGCTGAATACAGCGATGTCATGTATTTTATTTGAAAGAACGACAACACATCCACAAATGATGATTTGTAACGATTGATTATGGACCACATCTGATCATTGTAGCGTGATTGGTTTTGCTGAAAAAGGAAAAGAAAGATGAGATAGGAAGTAAAACAGGAGTACTGACTGGTTAGCGAATAGACAAGTTGGGAGACAAAGAAAATCTAAGTCAAAATACTTAGGTAAAAAATGGCAAAGGCGATACAACAACAACAACAACACATTACTGTATTTAGCGTTTGTTATACAAATATATAGTGTTATTATTATTATTTTAACACATAGATATTGATACAAGGAGGCACCAAATACATATGCGCCACATAAATCTCATTTGATGTGTGAGGGCCGTGATACTGCCGGGGTGCCCAAACCGAAGCAGGTGGTTTTCTTAGAAGGCCACTCCCTGAGCCTTCGACCTGAAGGCCTGATCCACAAGGCAGTGGAGCATCGTAAAGAGATGCAGTCCCATGGTAGCCGGTGACCAACAATTGGTTCATACGCCATTTGTTCCCGCAGGATACTGGAGCCCATGTGCACCATCGGTTTGGAATCAGGATTTTCCATCTCCCCTAGGTGGATCCTTCATATCTACCAACCCAGTTAAAGCGCCGGACATTCGCTTTTCGTCCTCTCAGTTTCGTAAACACCCCCGCCACGAGAAGGCAGTGAGTAGGACTTCCCTGGCAGAGGCTATATACGCGTGACCATGTGAGAGCATTTTGAGAGAGAGAGAGAGAGAGCGGACTCTCCCCAGTCTCGGCCGTACCAGGGCATTTGAGGGCAAAGGCGATACAGCATTAGTGTTTAATTTGTACAGTTATCCAAATATGAAGCAGAGGTTTGGGGATTCAGTTTACAAGCACTTATTCATGGTTTGAATCGTGTCAAATATTGAGGAATCTAAAACTGACTAACGAAGGAAACCAATGCGATTTCCAACTAAAACTGAGTAAAACGAACCATGTAGTCGAGTAAATGTTATGGACACAGAACTCATATCGACTGGTCAGTAATTCAGACATAACAATGAGAAATTTGATAAACACGATGTACGCTTAGGGTTCTTAAAATCAACATTCATTAACTAAACAGTTTTACCTCTGTAAATTGACTCGACTCAAAAAAATACAAAGTTATCTGCTCATCTGAAGCTAAGTCGAAGGATTTCAGAAGAAATAAGTTTTCTTACCACCAAAGCTATGGTCTTGGATTCACCTTAATTGTTTTCCGTAGTATGGAGATGGAAATATATTAATTACACAAAGGTGTAGGTGAATGTTGGGAGAAAGCTAGGGGCGGCCAGACCAAAACATGGCAAAAATCCATGAAGTCACTGACAAGTACCACCTGGTACTGACATTGTTAATAATGCACCTTCAATGGGAACCGAAGATCTGGATAAAAGTCACCGTTCCAAATAGTCCCAGTGTTATGAGGGATGAAAAATGAACTACGGTACGTAGGAAACGAAACTAAGAAAGCTGTAAGCAGTACACAGGTAGTTAGTAACTCACTGGTGGACTCAAATTGCACTACCAAGATCTGATGGTAAGAGTGAAACCCATCCTGGCGTGACTGAGAAGAAAAATCTAATAACATCGAATATTATTGTGAGCAAATTGCAGGAGTCAAACGACCCTGATCCGAAAATTAGACACGCGCATGACTTAGAAAAGCTAGGAGAATACATCCGTAGTATTTTACCAGATAACTCCAAAGGAGTTCAGGTCAAAAAATTGGTAAGAATAGGCAAGAGGACCGAGGACAATGTTGAACCCCGTCCATGCAGACTCCTTAAGGTAATCCTAGGATCGGAGAAGCAACGGGATCTCTTGTTAAGTAGCGCTCGTTGTCACGACAATTCTGATATCCGAGTTAGACCTGACATGTCTCTCGAAGATAGAATAAACGAAAGCACTAGCTGAACTTGAAACCCGTCGGCAAAACGGCGAGGAAAATCTCCGACTAGTGGGTTTTCGGATAGTCAGGTCTTGGAAGCGAATGCTACCAAGGCCTGTGTGGATAGGCTGTTCTACTTAGGAGTTTTATATGCCAACGCTCGTAGTTTACGAAATAAGTTCTATGAACTAGAAGCACTAGTAGACACGTTAAAGCCACTCATAGTAGCAGTGACAGAAACTTGGTTAGTCCATGACTTAGACATTACTCCAGAATTATCCGGATACCATTGCATCAGGAGTGATAGACATAGATGTAGAAAAGGAGGCGGCGTTCTGTTATATATAGCCAATGGCATAAATATCCGCTCCTCTACTAGCGAATCCCATGATAGCGGCACTTGTGAAGTCATTAGCTGTAAGTTGGCTATAGGATGTAGTACATTTATGCTAGGTGTCATCTATCGGAGCCCAATCTGCTTAGCTGATGACTTTGTTTTAGAGCACATTCATCTTTGGAGTGATAATACCAGGTGCTTGATAATAGGAGACTTTAACGCAGCTGATATTAGTTGGACTGATATGACCACAGAAGGATCTATAAACTCCTTTGATAGTAGGTTACTGATAACAATAATGGAGCATGCACTAGTGCAGCATGTATCCCAACCCACACGTTTTGGTGTTAACCAGGGTTATTCTCTGCTGGATTTGGTAATCACTCATGAGACTGAGGATATTGTCGACTTAAATATTCTTCCACAGCAGCGATCACGCTGTTTTGTCATTCGCGTTTAGAACTAGGGACATGTTATACGATCAGGTTACACCGCGCCCAAATGTATGGAAAGCTAACATATCAGCCATTCAGGAATGCGCTGCTAAGACAGATTGGTTAGTAGATACTAGCATATCAGTTGAAGAAGCATGGTCTGTATTTAAAGGTAAATTTAGACTAGTTACGTCCCCATTCATACCATACCTGGTACCGCGAAGACCGAATAATGGTCCACCATGGATAACTAAAACGGTCAGGAAACTCCTTAGAAAAAGGAAGAATCACTGGAATATGTTCATCTCTACTGGCTTAGAACAATACAGATCCAGTTATTGTAAGATTAGGAATGCCTGTAAAGCGTTAATAAGCAAGACTAGACATTCATACGAAAAACAATTGGTTAGGGATTCTAGATATAGTCCGAAACGGTTATTCTCGTATATAAAAAGGCGAACTAAGAGAAGCGATGGAATTCCATCACTTTTGATACGAGACAATCCGTTAATCTTAGCAGAGAATGATGCCGAAAAAGCTGAAGCTTTATCGGAATATTTTAGTAAAGTGTTTTCTATCGGTAATGAGGAACGACCAATGATTCATCGTGACCGTGACGGCTCGCTGATGGATCCTGTAGTCATTGAGAAAGATACTGTTTTAAGGCTACTTCAGCATCTCAAACCTGATAAGTCCAGTGGTCCCGATGATATTCATCCTAGGATTATGAAAGCCATATCAGATGAAATTGCTGAACCATTAGCGATACTATTCGACATGTCTCTGAGACAGTCCAGACTTCCTAGAGACTGGAAAGACGCCATAATAAGTCCGGTGTATAAGGCTGGGAGTAGGGATTTAGTTAGTAACTATAGACCCGTTAGCTTAACTAGTGCAGTTGTGAAACTGATGGAGAAAATCATTCGGATAGCTGTTATAAACTATGTTGAAGGGCAAAATCTTTTCTCCAGGGCACAACATGGTTTTCGGAAGGGCCTATCTCGCTTGACAAATCTTCTCATTGCACGAGAAGAATGGGCTGCGGCAAAGGATCGGAATGCTCCTGTGGATGTAATTTTCATAGATCTAAGTAAAGCCTTTGATAAGGTTTCACACTCTGGTCTTAAATTCAAACTGAAACGTTTTGGAATCCATAACACAGTCGTCGATTGGATAAGTAACTTTCGCCATGACAGGAGACAAAGGGTAAGGGTTAATGGGGCTCTCTCCTCGTGGGTACCTGTAAAAAGTGGGGTTCCCCAAGGCGCAATCCTAGGTCCTCTTCTCTTTTTACTTTATGTAAATGAATTACCAACTGTAGCAAAACCATCCGTTCTACTCTTCGCTGATGACATAAAGATTTGGAGACCCATACATAGTATGTCGGATAGAATAGCATTACAGGACGATCTTAGCTCATTGGTGGCATGGTTAGACAGGTGGTCACTAGAAGTAAATCCTAATAAGAGTGTAGTGATGCAGTTAAATAACTCTGATGAATCGTATGACTATACACTACGTGGATTCGTGCTACCCAAAGCAAGAAACTATAAAGACTTAGGAGTTATATTAAGCAATGATCTCAAAACGACTAGTCACTGTAAGGCTGCTGCTGCTGCAAAAGGCTATAGGGTATTATGGTCAATTCGTAGGTCTTTTCAGTATTTAGATGATGAAATGTTTGGATTACTATACCCGATTTATGTGCGACCACATTTAGAATACGGGATTCAAGCAGCGAGTCCTTGTTTCAAATATGAAGCAGATATGCTAGAAAGAGTCCAACGACGAGCTACTAAGATGGTACAAGGTCTAGCTGGCCTATCTTATGAAGACAGACTGAGACACCTTAACTTATTTCCGTTATCCTACCGTAGAGTACGGGGTGATCTAATATTGGCTTATCGTATACTGAACGATGACCTTGGTATTAACATGTCTTATCTTTTGCTTCCGTCTAGAACCGATCATTTGAGAGGACATTCGAAGAAAGTTCAAAAACCGAGATCAAACCGTTTACGTCTGGAGTTCCGTTTCTCGCACCGAGTAGCGAATTACTGGAATTCTCTACCGGAACACGTAATATCAGCACCGTCTGTTAATATATTCAAAACGAGATTGGACCTCCACAGTATTACAAACTGCAAGGATTAATATAGGTCGACAGACCTCCTATCCTTATTACTGAAGACTGAAGTGAACTGCGTCACGGTGCTAGGTGAAGACTACCTGGTTGGGGACCGTGAGATGATAGCAACCGATGGTAAGAGACCTTGGGTGACATGGCTCAAAGTCATTTGCAATGGTGCGGGTGCATCTACAATGTGTTCTGAATTCTTCATGTTCTTTTTCTCCTCTTTCCAGATTTATTTCACTGGATTATACTCCTTGAATAACATCTTCAAACCCTAATCTTCCCTAATACTGCTTACACTTTTACTACCTCTACCACTATGGGATTTGGATCGACAATTGTGTCTCTGTTGTAATGTGGTATTATTATTATTTATTTGAACACATAAATATTGGTACAAGAGAGCGCCAATATATATGCGCCACACAAAACAATGGGAATTCGAAGAGAAGTAGAAAGAAAAGAAAAAAAACTAAGGAACGCAAAAGAAAAAGAGAGTAATGACGAAGAGGTACAATCAGAAGAAATCTTTCAGGTAAAGGAGACACAACCACTTTTTATGAAGAAAGTAAAAGAAGGTTACAGCAGGATCGCCACTGGCTTCTATTCTGAGCCATATCTGATAACGTCTCTAGCCACTGTGTTGCACCATCTCTCAGACCCCAACCAGGGAGTCGTGAAGGACCAACACAAGCCAGTCCTTTGCAGCTTTCTTTCATGCCACGACACCATATCATGCACTGACCACCTCTCCGCTTCTTCCAACCAGTCCCAGAGTCGGCAAATAATGCACGACGTGGAATTCTCTGGGACGACATTCGGAGAACATGTCCAAGCCACCGAAGTCGGTGTTTCAAGATGGTGACACCAATTGAGTTATCATCTCTGTGCCCGAACACACGATGCCGAACCTCTGCATTACTGACATGGTGTTGCCACTGAATGTCAGCAATCCTTCGGAGACAGCGATGATCGAACACAGAGAGTCGTCTAACGTCCTCAACTCGGAGAGGCCAGGTTTCACAAGCATAGAGCAAAACTGCTCTCACCGACGCGTTGTAGATCCGGCCTTTTACAGCCAGACTAACATCACGAAGGCGCCAAAGGTGGCCCAGATTGGCATAAGCCGCTCTGGCTTTCACTATTCGTGCATTGATCTCATCACTCACACCCCCACCAGCACTTATGCAGCTACCCAGATACACGAACTTCTCGACTATTTCTATCTGCTCACCATCCAGGGTGAGTACAGGATTAGAATCCTGCCAGTCTTGTAGAAGTACTTTGCACTTCGAAGGTGCAAAGCACATACCATACCTACGGACATTGATTGCCAACTGATTAAGTGCGGATTGCATGCCTTGGGCATTATCGCACAGTAAAACAATATCGTCCGCATACTCAAGGTCGAGAAGTCTTTCTCCAGGCAACAGATCCACACCACCATTACTTACATTCATCAGAGCTGTTTCCAGAATGTCATCGATGGCAAAGTTGAAGAGGAATGGTGAGATTGGGCAACCCTGCCTAACCCCACTGCTCGAATGGAACAATGGAGAGAGGTGGTTGTATGCCCTCACTCTGCCTGAGGTGTTTTTATACAGGGCTTTTAGGATGTTAATAAACTTCTCAGGCACACCCTTCTTCAATAGACAATCCCAGAGAACAGTCCTATCCAACGAATCGAAGGCAGCCCTGATGTCAAGAAACACTACGATTGTTGGCCTTTGAAAAGTATGGCGGTGTTCTAACATTTGGCGGAGGGTGAAGATATGATCAATACATCCTCGACCAGAACGAAACCCAGCCTGCTCCTCGCGAGTCAATCTTTCTCGGGTTTTGAACAACCTACGAAGAATGACGGAAGCCAATAGCTTGGACGCAATCGGAAGTAAACTTATCCCCCGATAGTTGTTACAAGAACGACGTGAACCCTTTTTAAAGATAGGGACAACTATCGACTCATTCCATGACGTTGGTACACTCTCTAGATCCCAAACCTTTGTAAACAACGTCGTCAATTCCTTAGTCAAAAAGTCACCACCATCTTTAAAAAGAGCCGGAGGTAAGTCATCTGGGCCAGGTGATTTGTAACGCTTCAAGAGTTGGAGTTCCTTGCGGACTTCCTCCTCATTTGGTGGATCAGTCGTCACCGGCCATGGAGGGCAGGACAGTCTGACCGATGTTACCGGAGCAGCAGGCCAGTTGAACTGCCCTTCGAAAAATTCTGCCCATCGTCCAAGACGTCGATGGATGTTAGTGATTGGCATCCCATCATCCTCGCAGATTGTTTCACTCACACCAGACTTCTTGCTGCCAGTGGCTCGGATGAGTTGGAAGAGCTTCCGGTAGTTACCAGATGCAGCTGCTGCTTCCAGCTCATTAGCACGCATCGACCACCAGGCTTCTCGGTCCTTACGCAAGCTTTGCCCGATTTCCTTACGTAACATCCTTCGTTTATGGTCAAACTCACGGTTACCTGGAGTAGACCGACGGGCTTCAATGAGTTGTAAGGAACCAGAAGAAACCCAGTGCTTAAAAGCGGGACGTTTCGCAAACCCACAACTGACTGTTCCCGCCATTTTCATGGCGTCATGCAATTGCAACCAATGCTCATCTATACTTTTCGGTGGAGTGGTAGCTAGCCTAGAGGCTAGCTCGGTTCGATACTTACTTGCAACAGAAGTTGCAACCAGCTTGCTAACATCAATCCGTTGATGGCGTTCACTTCGTTGTCCACTGAAAAGTAAGGCAAGATTGGCGCAGACCAAGGCATGGTCAGAGTCCAGATAGGTACTCCAAAAGGAGCGGCAGTCTTGTACACAACCACGCCAGCGGTAGCTGATCGCGATGTGATCAATCTGAGTCCAGGCTTGAGATGCAGAGGGAGGACGCCAGGTGTCACATCGGCGATGACTGTGCCGAAAGTTAGTGCTAGCCAGAAACAGGTTGTGGTCTGCGCAAAGTTGCAGTAGACGGTCCCCGTTATCTGACCTGCGACCAACGAGTCCCCATCGGCCACCTAAACGACTCTCTTCTGTGCCTAGACGCCCGACCTGAGCATTCAAGTCTCCGGCTAGTACTACAATATCTGTCGAACGCACTTTCTGGAGAAGAACTGATAACTGGTGGTAAAACTCATCCTTGATTGCATCCGGGCTGCAATCTGTCGGGGCATAGGCGGAGATGACGAAAAGACATCGTTTCTCACGCCGATTTCTTCTCACTTTGATGGAACTTTCTAATCTAACAGCACATAACCGACTGTTAATGGGGATCCAATCGACTAGTGCTGCCTCAGCTCTAGCGCTTAGTGCGACACCAACGCCAGCAAAACCAGACGAAGATGCCACAGGGTCCCCGGATAAGCGCAAACCGAAGCAGGTGGTTATCTTAGGGGGCCACTCCCCGAGCCTTTGACCTAAAGGTCTAACCCACAAGGCAGTGGAACATCGTAAGGAGATGCAGTCCCATGGTAGCCGGTGACCAACGATTGGTTCATACGCCATTCGTTCCCGCAGGATACTGGAGCCCATGTGCACCATTGGTTTGGAATCCGGTTAAAGCGCCGGACATTCGCTTCTCGTCCTCTCATTTTCGTAAACAACACCCCCGCCACGAGAAGGCAATGAGTAGGACTTCCCTGGCAGAGGCTATATACGCGTGGCCGTGTGAGAGTATTTCGAGAGGGAGAGCGGACTCTCCCCACTCTCGGCCGTACCAGGGCATTCAGGGGGCGTTGTTTCTGAATGAATGAATCACACACAGGTAAAGATAAACATTATGGGGCTAGTTGGTATGTAATAAATAACAGGGGAAACGTGAATATGAAGCGTAAACTACAAAGTTTACTTTGATTGGACTTGCGACCTAAAATATGCCACAACGTGGCAACAACTTTTACACTTGATAATATTCTAACTCATGGCTCACTGTCTGTATGATTTTTCGAACCACATTCTAGTTGTTCATCCGAATATTTTGCTGTTTTAAAATGTGACTTTGAACTTGTATATTTCGGTACATTTCAAGTCAGAACGTTGACTGTATGTGGTAGTATCAGCATGTAAGTAAATATCATCACACCAAGTTGAGAATGTTTTTCATTTCTTTCTAAGGTTCCACCTTTACGAACAAAGCTTCTGATTTCAGTCGAGATAACTTCGTATTTAGATCTAATGGATTCTTAAAATGAATCGAAAATAACATACGTTTTTCAACAAATTTAGCCTAACGATTAAGGGGTCAAGTGAAGTTTGGATATACTGACGGTCATTATGAATACGTAACAAGTTTAGATTGCTTGATTTCAGATTAAGGGACAGAGTCGTTAGTTTAAAAACTGGAGTAGGCCAACCTCTAATGACAGTTCTGAATGTTTACCTGTACTTATTGAGTTTTCTTTTACGTGAACAAGATGTCGGTGGATAAATTTATATAGCCGGAAGACAGTAAGCCAGAAAGCTTCCAAACCGTTGATTGAAAAAGAGAATGTTTGAGAGCTGTAGTCTTGAAAGAGTGAAGACTTCGAGATTGAAGTTATAAATAAATTAGCATCATGTAGCTGTTCTAAATGATGGGCTGACAGGGGTTAGCGGACTAGTCCAAATAAAGATAATACAGAGAGTGATACGTAAATATTTGCAACAAAAGTTTCGCTTGAAGAGGTAATATATTTAAAAATAAAACTTACTCCAACTTTAGTGCAACCATCAAAAATGAAGAGTGGCTGAATGTCACACATTTGTACTTGGCTTATCAACTTAGAAGCCGTCATTGAGAAAAGAAGGAACTCATTATGATTATTATCTTTAAAACCAATTACGTTCTTCAATATAAAATGAATAAAGTCATCGCCATGTATAACAACAACAGTTTTTTTGAGAAGTGATACTTCGAAATTGAAATAACTCTTCGAAAGGAAGAGACCAAGATTATTTCGTCTGATCATAATTGTCATTCAAAAACTAAATAAATAAGACAAAAATGTTGTGTAGATGTCAAGTTGCTCAATGACGTGTATGTTTTACAAAGTATATACTACATGCTATATGACAAGCCATGTTGATTAACAATACCCCACTTATCAAGTATGGTCATTTTAAATAACCTTTACAATTAAGCCACCTACATTCTGTCTCGACTAAAAAACAAGTTGTAAAACAACTCTCAGTCCTCAACTTTTACATTTACACTGTATTTACCCTTTGAATGTCCTGTTTTTAAAGGCCAAGTTTTAGTCATAAATCAGAACACAGGGAACTACTGGGCAGTATATTCATACTTTAGTCAAGACAGACAATTCGTTTGCACCAAAAATAATGGGAGCTGATGAAGGTCATCAAAGCTTTCGGAATCCGCGTTGGAATTTTAACAGACACTAACACAGGAGACCTGATGAGACTTGAGAAAATGAATGAGGCGGTCGACGAACCCAATTAGTTTAGATGTAGGGCCGAAAACAGATGTTAGTTTAATCAACCTTACACCAGTAGTATCGTGGGGATGAGTTAAGCGTTAAGAAAATCTACACAAGAGTAACACTAATAATATATAGAAATTGATCACTACCCGTAGTTTTGGACAAGTTACGCAGATCATTTTTCTCCGTTGCGAGACTTACTCAGCTTTGTTCTTACTGAAGTATATCATATGACATGATGAAATAAATTGTTACTTTCCATGATCTCAGTTTAAAGTACCAAAAGAATTATAAGTTCTGTGGACTTTCCCTATACTTCCATAGATGACACAATCACTTTATTGCGTAGTTCCGCACTTTTCTGGCACAATCTTTAATTATAGGCGGATTTTTCTGTACTTGATGCAGGAAGTGATTATCTACAACCAAACAATAAAGGGGAAATAAGGGCGAACAAAAGGGAAATAATGGGAAAACGTGCCAAAAAGATCTGTTTTTTACGTTCATGTCGCTGTTTCAAATGTTGCTGAATTGTCTACTTTTCGTCCAAATACACACAGAAATGTTTACTTTTCAACCCCTGATCAAGGGCTGAATCGTTATTTTCGGCCACTAGTACTAGAGATATAAATACGGTGATATGCTGGAAAAAAGTTTGAACTATGTGTGAAAAACACCATAGCAGCTTAGACAAAATATAAACCATAAAACAAACAAAATAGTAAAACAAATACTTTTTGCCGCTACTGTATACATGCAACGCATTACTGCGTCAATTCGATATACTTAAACAAGACAGACCTCAATACACTGTAATTTTCTTTAGGTAATTATTCTTTACCCTCCAAATTGTTTACGTTTTGATTGGTTTATGGCCATAAAGGTCTCTGAGTTTTCTTATCGCTATTTCAACTTCTTGGAAATCTGAATAAGTGGAAACGATTGCAGAGGTAATAAATCCCCAAAATAAATAGCTCTGTAAGTCTTCGAAATAGGATGCTGACCACATGTTCTAATGGACTCACCTAGCTGAAGGCGCTCGGTCATGCGTCCGTACCAGATCACGAGTGGGAACGCTGTGCTCAACATCACCTGCAATCGCTAGCCAGTCTAGATCAGTCCATCCACGATATATTGATAGCCTATCAAATATATCTTCGAACCTCCTCTATTCTGTCTTTTGATTTCACTTGGTGGGTACGCTTCATATTAGAAGGTGTTGCTGGTTAAAGCGTTGTCAAATTCCAAATACCTGTGGCATCTTCATTGGTGAGCCTAACGTGATTTGGCATACCAAAATGCTAACTGTATCTGTTCCTTTCCGGGATTTTATATATTATTGCCTTATTTTAATTTTCTATACATTGTGATACTTTTTATCCGTGTTTTTGGATATATATATTTTTTTACTCGTTCATCATCGTACTTGATATTTCATTATGACTGAATATACACTCAAAGACCCACCTTCGTTTCAACTGATGCCCTTCTGGCCAGACAACATCGAGGCCCGGTTTTGCTACGCAGAAGCCGACTTCCACGAGCACGGCGTGAACGACACACGCGCACAATTCCTTGAAGTAGTCAAGGCACTACCGCGGGAATTCAACAGGTACGTAACACCTAGTATGTTTACTAGTGATGTTTCTGAACCCTACGAAACACTGAAACGATCTATCCTTAAACGCGGAGAACTAACAGATAGACAAAGGTTAGACCAGCTCCTTAATAACATCGACCTGCATCACGGTTCTGAGACAGACATGTCGCAAAGAATGAGAGAGGTTATCAGCCAAAGAACATTCGATGATGGCCTATTCAAACAACTTTTCTTATCCAAGCTTCCTCAACAGGTGCAAGCTGTGCGGGTCTCATTTCAAAACAACGCCTTAGACGACTGGCTGCATCTACCGACCACATCTAAGAAACCACGAAATCTTCTAATGCCGAAGTTTTTCAGTCAAAGGGAAGCCTCAAACGACCCAGGGTGACATAACGGAGTTGTGTCGTACACTTACATGTTGTCTTAAATTTCGTAACGACCATAAATGGTCACACACCCCTCGAAGAAGCACTTCAAGTAGGCAATCTGTTTCCAGACCACGAGAGACTGATGACCCTGACTGGTGCTGATATCATAACCAGTATGGAAAGTCTTCTAGGAATTGCAGAAAACTCTGCAATTTTCCTAACTCAAGACCGACCGACACAAAACACTAATTTATCTCTTTGCGTAACTTCTTTCTCCGGTCGCGGATTATCTCCAGTCACAATTAAGCTCACGATAAACCCGTTCTATCAACCATTACTTAATAAGCATTCTGGGATATACCAACCGCAATCGAAATTGAAGCGTGTAGCCAGAAATGTTGCACATCACATCGCGACTACAGGACCACTTGTATTCTCTAAAGCACGACGACTAGCCCTCGAAAAGATAAAGTTGGCCAAAAGCGAATTCGACCAAATGATAGACTTAGGAATCGTACGACCGTAAAGCAGCTCATGGGCATCTCCGTTGCACATTGTCTCCAGAAAGGATAGCAATGATTGGCGTCCAACTGATGACTATCGGCAATTGAATGCGAAAACCATTCCCGATCGTTACCCGTTGCCTCACATTCACGATCTGACAGCTACTTTAAAAGGTACAACTGTCTTTTCGAAAATCGGCTTGGCTAAAGCGTTTAACCAAATACCTATGGCTACAGACGATAAACCGAAAACAAATATCGTTAGTCTCTTTGGACTCTACAAATTTCTGCGAATGCCTTTCGGTCTAAGAAACGCTGCTCAAACATTCCAAAGGTCCATAGACGACGTTTTTCGAGGTCTCAACTTCGTACATGCGTATGTTGACGACTACCTAATCGCAAGTCCGGACAGAGAATCACATCTCCAGCATCTGGATCCTGTTTTCTAACGACTACAAAAACATGGCATTACTGTAAACATTCAGAAATGCCAAATCGGAACCGACTCGTTAGACTTCCCAGGACACACTATCGATGCTCAGGGAATTCGACCCCTTAGAACCAAAGTGGCGACCATCATAGATTACCCAGAACCGACCACCGTCAAACAATTACGCACGTTTAACGTCCTTGTAAGTTTCTACAGATAATTCATACCTAAATGCGCGCTACTCATTAAGTCTCTTACCGACCATCTTCGTGGAAATGCGAAATCCATCAATCTAGACGACACCGCACGAAATGCACTCTCCACAATTAAGGAACTCATCGCTAAAGCGACAATGCTTGCTCATCAGGACACTGAAGTACCCATTAGTATCGCAGTAGACGCATCCGACTCGGCAATCGGAGGAGTCTTACAACTATGGGTTAACTACTCCTGGCAACCTTTGACGTTTTTCCCTAGACGGTTGCTAGACACTGAATCGAGGCACAGCACGTTCGGTAGGGAACTCCTAGCTATGTATTGTGCTGTACGGCATTTTCAACACTACATCGAAGGTCGTGAATTCACTCTTTTCACGGACCATAAACCACTCACTTTCTCGTTAAGCTCTCCTTCTGACAAGTACTCCCCCCGTGAGTCTCGACAACTGGACTACATTTCGCAGTTTACTTCAAATATTCAACATATTTCTGGAGCAAACAATCTAGTTGCAGACGCTTTATCTCGTATAACTTCCTTGAACAGTTTCCAAGGAATCGACCTTCTTAAACTCGCCGAGCTTCAAAAAGAAGACAGTGATCTTCAGCACGAGTTATCGTCCACAACACTTAAACTACGCATCAAACAGATGGTAACAGGTAAGGAAACCTTACTTTGTGACACATCTACAGGTAGGGATCGCCTGATCGTGCCGAAACATTATCGACGCAACGTCTTCAGTATGTTGCACGAATTTTCTCATCCAGGTGTTCGTGCAACCATCAAGCTTATGGCAGAACGGTTTTGCTGGCCTGGCATGAATAAAGATGTGAGAGAGTGGGCACGCTCTTGTGTAAGCTGCCAAAAATCTAAGGTCATCAGACACAATAAATGTCCCTTAGGCTCATTTAAGACTCCCGATGCTCGTTCCGACCATGTTCAGTTGGATTTGGTAGGACCTTTACCAGATTCAAATGGATACTCTTACCTCTTAACCTGCGTAGACCGTTTCACTCGATGGCCAGAAGCAGTACCTATCAGGGACATCACTGCTGAAACAGTGGCTCGCACCTTCGTCGAACGATGGATAGCGAACTTCGGCTGCCCTTCAACCATAACTACAGACAGCGGACGTCAGTTGGAATCCGAACTTTTTCGTTGTCTGACCGCACTTTTAGGAATCACTCGCTTCCGAATGACCGCCTACCATCCACAAGCAAACGGGTTGGTAGAACGCTTTCACCGACAACTAAAAGCTTCGCTATCAGCTGCACACCTTTCACAGTGGACCGACGCTCTTCCACTCGTCTTACTAGGTATTCGCAATGCAGTGAAAGCCGTCATTGGATACGCTGCGGCTCAGCTCGTTTAGGGAACGACACTTCGACTTCCAGGAGAATTCGTGGATCCTTCATCCTCTTCAGTGAACATGGATCTAATCTCTTACACGAACAGGCTTACAAACACAATGCGTTCAGTTAAACCTGCTTCCACTCGACCACAATCGACTGAGGTTTTCGTTCAATCTGACTTACGATATAGTACACACGTCTTCGCACGTCGAGACTCTCATCGACAACCCTTCGAATCAGCATACGAAGGACCTTTCAAAGTTCTTCAACGAAAAATTAAGTACTATATAACTGATAAGAACGGAACTAACGACAGCATCAGCATTGATCACTTAAAAGCAGCGTATTTCGGAGGAAATCCTATCTACGTCGATTTTCCTTCGGTACAATCGAACAACACGGCTCCCACACTTACAGTACCTTATCCGATAACTAACACGCACGATGATACTTCGTCATTATCTGAAGATAAACTTAAAACAACGCGTTCTGGAAGAAGAGTAAGATTTCCAGAACATTTAAATGACTATCGCACGTAAGACACTAGTAAACATTTTGCTTCATCTCGATTTTCCATGGCAATATATATAATATTTAAAAAAATCAATTTTCGTATGCTTATATTTGTATATATTTATTAGTTGGCTAATATGTATAGTAAAATTTTTTAAGAAAGAACAAGAAAAAAACAGTTTGTAAAAATAGCTTTTACGCTATCACATGTATATGAGTTTATTTTCCTTTTCTCTCCCACTTTGTGTCTGAAAGCGCGTACGAGTTTATTTTGACTTGCAATCACATTTTCTTTTTTCTTTTCCAGAACGGCTGGAAAAGACGATAAAAAAGAACTATGAGGTCTACGACGAAACAAAAATTTTCATTGTACATTATTTATTTACTAAATTGTACTTCCTGGTCACTTATATTAGGGAAGGACGACCAGACGCTGCTAAATCTAGCAAGCTATCAGAAGAGTGTTTACCAACGGCAAACTCGTTGGGTTTAAACTTCCGGCTGGCCACAACATGGGTCATCACTACCCTACTGGTGGGAGTGATCTGTAGCGGTAAGTGAATCCCCAAAATAAATAGCTCTGTAAGTCTTCGAAATAGGATGCTGACCACATGTTCTAATGGACTCACCTAGCTGAAGGCGCTTGGTCATGCGTCCGTACCAGATCACGAGTGGGAACGCTGTGCTCAACATCACCTGCAATCGCTAGCCAGTCTAGATCAGTCCATCCACGATATATTGATAGCCTATCAAATATATCTTCGAACCTCCTCTATTCTGTCTTTTGATTTCACTTGGTGGGTACGCTTCATATTAGAAGGTGTTGCTGGTTAAAGCGTTGTCAAATTCCAAATACCTGTGGAATCTTCAAACCTTAGTCATCACAAACGCACAAGTAATGTTAAGTCTCTGATGCCACCATTAACTGACCAAATAAATATCTTGGGAAAAATAACAAAATATGTAGATGGATATAGACTTTAGGTGAACTTAGATATTTTGATCAGAGGCTCTAAAAAATGGGGGATACACACCAACTCGATCAAGTATGTTCATTCACATTGCGGATAATAGGTGAATGGTAGAAGTGTCGTATGCCACAATTCAGTAACACAACGACTTTTAGGTAACAGTGTGACCACGATCCAAACACACGGTTGCAGTTAAGAGCGGCGTGAGAAGCTAGACACTGATTCCGTCCTGCTGAAAATTAAAGTTATCTGATGGTGATATATAGGATATTAAGAAATGATTTTGAACGTGATATATCCTGTATTTCTTCTCCCGACGGATTTGGGCAACTCGACGGACATACCGAGCGAGCAGAAAAGACAAGAACTAACAAAATGCATGTGGGATCAGGCTTTCACGCCGAATCATCAATACTTGGAAACTGTTATCTGAAGAATTGATGCCCACCTCTTCAATTGGCTCATTCAAAAGGAAACTAGATAATCAGAAGCTTACTATAAAAGGAATAGCACACACCGTAGGCCTTCTGTTCTCAATATGCAAATCTCAATCTGATCTGAATGATAAAACAAATACGTCACGTCATTTTGTCCTTCGTTTAGTGTACGTGTAGAATTATGGTCTACTTTGTTATTAGTACTACTAAAAGAAATAGACCTAACCCTAAAAGTATAGATTTGTCATGATGTAGCTACCTAATCTACAAGATCCTACGTGGAAGTCACATCATTGTCAACACTGACTCATCGTGTCGTAACAATGAACAATATGATACTTAGTAATTGTGAAGAAGACATTTAGGATGAAGATGAGATAATATTTAATGTCAACAAAGACAAGTTACACAGAATGACCATGTTTGCGAGGCTGAGCCATGCCGTGCGATCGAATCGAATTAATACTTCCCACCTACTCCACTGTTGACCTTAACTTCGTGTTAACTGTTAAATATCCATTTTCCCGGTTATCATATTTTCAGCTGTGAAGGTTGTGTGATTAGAACGAATACTACTACATACGAAAATAATCGCTTTGGGCAAGTACGGCTATTGTATTCCATATCGTACTCTGTATAAAGAATTTACTTAACATCCTGACAACGATCGTTGTTACTATCAACATGATCAAATCTTACAGAAGACTTAAAAAAAACTATCGGCTTTTGGTTCCGATCTCTAGATTGTCTTAATATGAGAACTGTGTTGTTTTTTTAGTGTTGTTTGTCGCTTTCCGTAGTAAGTGTAAGTGTGCTATGTGCGCTTGCTGGGTCTTCGACTCAACTTTTCTTTTGTTCTCCTGTTTCACACTCCTCCTCACTCACTCAACTTTGTATGTTCCTCTGTGTCTAGACGTGAAACGCTTCGTTGCCTACCTTTAACTATTCATATGAGTTTCTCAGAAATGCCTTTGTTGTAATAAGTCAGTGGTTCATTAATAACCTTAGTCTTAATCAATGCGCTCCACTCAAAATATTACCTGTAAATTGATTTTCTGTCTGGTATTACTAGCCTGGTAAAGAAAGCGTACGAGCAATAATACACACGAAAAGTTTCTGTCACTTTCTTTTCGTTTAGTTTCCATCTGTGAACTAGATTAGGTCTGCGTAAACATCTGTTGTGTAAACGGTTGTTTTGATCTCGGGTTAAATATTAGTGTGATAATTTGCGTACACTAATCCTGTCTTTAAGTAAAATAATATGTGATGTGTTCATAGGCAAATATTTCCAGCCTTCCCATTTTAATGTGTCAGAACATGTTTTTCTCCTAAGGAAATATCTAAATCAAAGAGATGTCGTCGTTTAATGTATAGTGTATGGGGATTCTAGTGTATAGAACTCTTCTTTTATCTACGTAGGTAAATTTTGCCCTAATGCTAATAGTTTCTGCCGAAGAATATAGTCAATACTTATTCTGTTGATCAGTAGAATACAAATTTTCATAGTTTCTTATTTTCGTTCAGGTATTCAATTAGAATAGTTGTGTATATTGTAAAAACAGTAAAAAACACATCTGCTATGCATACATGCGGTAGCTAGCCTTAGTAACGTAAACATCGGCTGAAGTTAACGTGATTCTGTAGCCTTGGTTTACCTACTGAGAGCACTCAGCGATGAGTAGTTAGACCCGGTATCGAGAAAGTCCTCTTTTCCCCAGATTTGATGGACCTTATTCCCGTCTTTTATTTCAAGTGCGCGATTCAACATGATCTTTGTGTATAGAAAATACTGAATCCATTCCTAAGTATCAAACAAATTTTCCTCAAACTCATGAAGTCGTTCCTAGTCGGTCGTACATAAAACAGAACCCCGTATAATTATGTATCTACTGTAATTTCTTGAATTAGGGAGTTTGCATGCCTCTGCACACTTCAACCTTACAATAATAAGACAGATTTAAACGCCACTCCACTACCCTTGGCACAGGGAACTGATGCCTTTAATCTTTACATTAGAAGCGTATCTAGTAACTGCATGTATCTGTTTACGTGTGGTAAGTGCACTGCTTTACTTGTATCACTTTTCAAGACAGTAATAACGAGTTCTAAATGGACGAATGATTTTGTCGCTCGATACATGGTTCTCATAGTATCGTTTTTCGGAAACGATATTACCAGTTACTTTAACGTAGTACTGTGATTTCTGTTTTTACTTCTTAACTAACAATTTTCTAAGGATGTACTCCAACTTATTGCTCGCTTACCCTCCACTTTTTTATTCATATATGTGCAAAACACAAGTTTATCTCGTTATGTACACATATTGTTTTAGTCAAACGGGCTACCTATTTTAAAGCGTTTTCTGTCAATGTATTTTTGAAAAAGATGGATTAGTTGTTGTCTTTGCCACATCATAGTTTGTAGGTGAAGCAATGTATTCATTTTCCCTCATATACTCTGATCCTCATCCGTCTTCATGATCTTCCGAAAATTTCAAATCTTGGTACAATTTTTACTTGATATTTTGTAACCGTATCTGGTTCATTCACGTATTTGAATTCTAATAGATAGCATACAGTTTTGAATTTCAGGTTATTTGTCAGTCCTAGCAATCTGATATCATGTGGTGGTGTGACGTTTCTTAACTCCTACTAATAAATACAGTGAACGGTACTACTCCCATTCACTTCGCCCCGCTATCTAGAGCAAAAAGTCGTCAACGATGGTTACAGTAGATTCTAAAATACATTTTGGATAACCAGTTGAATATCGACTAAGATAGCTATAGTTTATGAACACAGTAGTTCCCAATAAACCAATTATGGTGAAAAATGCATTGGAAGTCCATAGACAAAATTCATAATGTATAAGTTTGTGTTAAAATCGTTCATCCTAAGTAAATATTGATTTCCTCTCAAGTTGTATTTAGATGCTTGGTGTCTGTAATATAACTATGTAGTGTCATTAATCCTTGCGCTTGCTAAAAGATTCTGATAATATACAAACACACGCATTTTGTCCCTTCGTTTCTGGATAAATTTGTCGTATTCTTTTGATTCTTTGTCACATTTTTGGTTATTTGTTCCCGTAAAAGTCTTATAACTGCCTACTATAATTGTCAAAACAACATACACATTACTTGTGTCTTATTTTTCATTATATCCACTGAGTTTAACTATTTTTCCAGTTGTTTACTTATCCTTGTCTATTTTCCTGTTTTTCGTTGTCAGTATTTTTTTGATGAAAACAGAAGCTGTACCATACTCTAGTCATAGATAAGTTGTATATGATTGGTCTTCTGACTCGAAAATTATGACTTCTTTCGGAAAATATGTTAGTAATTTTGTCAAAACAGCTGTTTCGTCTATTTCTCCTAATAAAGTAACACCTTACACTTTAAGCCAATACGAATCTGAATATGAAAAGTGAGTTCATTTTAAATATTCAAATACTTACGAATTATTCCTAGTTGTGAACAATTACTACAACAAAAGTCAATTTATTATTTCTACAAAGTGGCAAATCATTTTGATATGGTTTACTTACCTGGATCAGTTGGCATTCCAGTCAATGGAGAGACTGTTTATGCTTACAGGTGTTTATCTACTTTCATTTATTAAAAATGTTATTCACTCTTAAATTTGTCTAGTTTATTTAGATTTCAAGGCGAACAAGAAGCAGGCGTTGCTGTATTTTTAAGATACATAGAAGTTTTGGATCCTCTGCATTTAGCCTGTATGAACATGAGCTTATCCATTGATCGCACATATTTGGAGAAAATAACTGCACACTGTCGAAACCAATGTGGCTGGTCAGCTGCTCATGTAGCTGCAGCAATGTCTTGGCGTGAGGTTTTCTTAAGCGAGTCAGTAAACGGGTAGATTTATGGAATCTTGTCAGCTAATTAATTTCGCATTTCAGTCTTTTAAATGAATATGATCCTCTTTCTGGTCTAACTCCACTACGAGTCGCAATCAAAGAGAATGATGAAGAGACAGTTCAGTCTTTAGTAACTATGGATAATATCAAGGCAACTGAAAAAGATGAGGATGGTAATACTGTTCTCCATTTGGTTTTGGGAGATACTTCGGCGAAAATTTTATCTGTAAGTTTATATATTATTATCATTTCTTCGGAACAAATATCTAGCTATAGTTGACAATATCTGAGATATATTTAGGTCTATAACATGTTAAGTTGTCCTAAACTATTTGTTATAAATAGAAGATATAATTAAGTATCACAGAAAACAGTTATGTGTTACTAAGTCACTTCTATAGACCTTACCTATACTCATCCGAAGGTGTCCCTAGTCTGAAAGGTGTAGTCCAAAAAGTACCTGGTCACTTTTTTTTATCTTCCTCTAATTTTTCACTTTTCGAACCATAATTTCTGATATCTAATATCTCTTAGTATCATTGGTGTTACTACTATTATACTCTTTTGTTGTTGGTCTTGTTGATTTCGTCTCACTGTGCTGATATGAAGTTACAATTTGGGCTTATGTGTATCTGTGTGCCTGACTGATTGGTCGTTTCGCTTGTCTGGATACCAATTCACTAGATACTGTTAGTAAGTTAGCAATCTGGATTGATAATGAACATCAAATACTGTATTTTTTTTGTATCCCGTACGGAATTATCTGCACAAAAATTTGCAATAGTTTTGTTATTACAGAGTGACTTGGCTTCGAGATAATTCCATAGGCTTCATTTATCAATCACTCTGATAACCGTTGTTAAATAAATATCAACGGTGTGTGAATTCAGAAGGTGACACAAGGCGCCGACTACAGTTTATTATTGGATAGCGCAGATAACAAAGCTACAAGCACATCAAGCGAATTTGAGCAGAAGGGCTAATGCACGCGACCAAGAGAATACAGAGTCGAATCAGTTAATACGACTCACGCACACATATATATGTTTGGGAAAGCGAATGTTTCATTGAGCGATATTTAACTAACTAGGAAAGAGGTATGTGCGTACGCCATCACGACCGACCGCTGTTGTTACCTTCACGCGGTGGTCGGGCTTGCCTATCGTGATGAAGCAACCGAGCTATACTGGCTGGAACAACCGTTCCTCAAGGTCCTACCATGTCAGACAGGTCGGTTGAAGAGCGGTAAGACTAAAAGCAACAAACTCAAGGTCCGAAGGCGAAGTCGTACTGCTGACTGTACAGAGGTGTGACAGCAGTAAGGTGTTTCCTTCAGACAACCAGCATGACAGCGATGCTGCCTTCCCACAAGGAGGGGTGGGGTTAGAAAAGGTCGACCCTAAAAATGCACACCTCGCCTTATCCCACGGATATCCGTCTCCGGCGGTAAGGTCTCAATAAGTACGGAGCTAACACAAAAATTACCCATAAGAAGGTCGTGTGTGACCGACCTCAAGCAGTTGTCCCTTGGGCACTGCGGTCACGCTCTCAGGTCACTAAGACCACCTTTAATCCAATTTCCTTTTCAGGTACCTCCAGAAGAACCCTTCCACGGTGTGGGCAACCGGGAAGTGATAACCGCCCTCATACCTCTAGCAGCACTCAAGACCACTGTATTCATAATCAACGTCCCTCTTCAATTCCTATTATTCCTCCTACATCGACTTTCAACTTTAAATTTCCTCTCTCGGCTTCCACCTCAAGTGTCACCATAGCCAACGATTCTAGTGCGCAAAACTGTCCCAGGTGTACTGAAACCTCGCTCCAAACTACACATTGGAGCCTTCAACGTACGAACCCTATGTCAAATCGGTCAGCAGGCTTCCTTGGCTAAAACCCTAGAGTCTCTTACCATTGACGTGTGCTGTGTCTCCGAAACACGCATACAGGATTACAGTGTGGTTATTCACTTGACCTCACCTCGGCAAAACGGAGAGCCAACGAGATACACCCTTCGTGTATCTGGTGACCCGATGGCAAGTCCTCGTGGACTGGCAGATGTAGGCATAGCACTAAACATGAGGGCGGAACAAACACTGCTAGAGTGGATCCCCGTCAACAGTCGTTTATGTGCCGTTCGGCTGAACGGCTACGTAAGAACTCGGAAGGATAGGGACACACGTCGTTGCCTTTTTGTCGTTTCTGCCTACGCTCCCACTGACTGCAGCTCAGATGAAGTGAAAGATGAATTTTACAGAAAGCTGCCATCAGTCATCGTTGGAGAGGGTCGGTAGAAGATTGTCGCTCATTCTGGAGTACATGCTTGGACTCCGACCATGCCCTAATACGGGCACGCATCTGCTTGCGCCTCACTGGACGCAAAAAAGCCACATTAAAAAGACCCGTTAGAACTGAGTTGAGTAACGAGAAAACCAAAAGTAGGTTCCAGGAACAACTGAGGTCACACTTAGGTAGTTGTGAAGACGAGGCTGACCCAGATGTTGCTTGGAAGGGCATACAATCAGCTGTGGAAACAGCAGTGGCATCTATTAGTGACTTAAACCACAGAGTTGCAAGGAACCAGTGGATTTCTTCAAGGTCTGTCACACTGATGGATTCTCGCAAACTCGTCCCATCAGGTTCTGAACATGATGAAGAGCATAAACAAATCAGATCTAGGTTAAGAAAAAGTCTAAGAAACGACCGTGAGCAGTGGTGGGCAACGAAAGTAAAAGAGATGGAAAAGGCGGCGACTATAGGGAACACAAGACAGCTTTACAGACTAATAAAAGAAACTGGGGTTAATAAGTCAAGTGTAAGAGAGATTATTTCGGATAAAGATGATACTCTCATCTGCTCCCAGTCCAGACGTTTAGAACGATGGGCGGAACATTTTAGAGAACAGTTCAGCTGGCCTTCAGCTTCTCTACAACTACCCTCCATTCCCAGACAATGTGAATGGAACATTGAAGTAGGTCCCCCAACTCTTGCTGAAGTTCAAAAGGCTATAGCTAATCTGAAACGAGGAAGGGCAGCTGGTCCAGATGGATTAGCTCCAGAGGTCTTTAAGGATGGTGGTCCAATTTTATTGATTAGGTTGACTAATATTTTAGCTAAAATCTGGGAATTAGACTTTATCCCATCTGACTGGTCGCAATCACTTATCGTCCCAATATATAAGGAAGGGTCACAATCATCCTGTGACAACCACAGAGGGATTAGTTTAACAAACATAGTATCTAAAATACTGGCCTCGATAATTATCAAACGCCTAACTAAGACTCGTGAACTACAAACTCGAGAGAACCAAGCTGGCTTTAGACCTGGTCGTGGCTGCATCGACCACATATTCACCATTCGTCAGGTTCTAGAACACAGGCATACCTATCGGCGTCCGACGATGGTGGTCTTTCTTGACTTAAAAGCAGCATTTGACTCTGTAGACCGCGAGACTCTGTGGCAGTGTCTGTCATTGAAAGGCGTACCTCAGAAGTACATAAACCTTGTGAAGGCTCTTTACTCGAACACTACTAGTCGAGTCAGAGCTTATGGCGAACTGTCATCTACTTTTGCAACCTCAAGTGGTGTCCTTCAAGGCTGCCCACTTTCTCCATTTTTGTTTAACTTCATCATAGACCTATTGATGGAAATAACACTCTCGTCGACTGAATTTTCGGGTATTGATCTCCTTCCAGGAGGTCCACTTATCGACTTGGAATACACAGATGACATAGTCCTGTTTGGTGAAAACGCTGACAAAATGCAGAGTCTTCTGGTAGCACTAAGCAACAATGCCAGAATGTTTGGGATGCGCTTCTCTCCCTCTAAATGCAAGTTGTTGCTTCAGGACTGGTCTGCGTCAACACCCGAACTAAGGATAGGGAGTGAAGTAGTCGAACGCGTTGACAACTTAACTTATCTTGGAAGTCTGATCAGCCCTAATGGGTTGGTGTCTGACGAAATCCCAGCACGGATTCGAAAAGCTCGCTTGGTTTTTGCCAACTTACGTCACCTTTGGCGGAGGCGAGATATCCGTCTATCAATAAAAGGACGAGTATTCTGCGCGGCAGTTCGTTCTGTTTTAATTTATGGCAGCGAAACATGGCCCTTAAGAGTAGAAGACACCCGTAAGCTACTAGTATTTGACCACAGATGCCTTAGAAATATTGCTGGCATCTGCTGGGATCACAGGGTAAGTAATAGTGAGGTTAGACGCAGGGTATTAGGGAATGATGGTAAATCAGTTGATGAGGTTATGAATCTTCATCGACTGAGATGGTTGGGCCACGTGTTACGTATGCCTGAACACCGATTACCACGACGTGCAATGCTAACCGGTGCTGGAGATGGTTGCAAGGAAGTTGTGAGCGGCCAAACCAAAACGTGGCATCAGTGCTTGAAGTCTCTGACTTCTGGTCTGAGCCATGTTGGTAGATGCAGAGTACTTAGTTGGGGTCCGCGTGACTATCGTAACCAATGGTTGGAGACTCTAGGTAACATGGTTCAGAATCGATCACAATGGCGTTGGTGTTTACACTCTCTATCTTCCCTTAAACTAAGAGATTAAAATCACTTCATATGTTTCTTTCTACGAACTAATTATTTCTTCCTGTACTATATCCTTATTGCAACCTTTCTTTTATATATTACCACCACTGAATTAACTAATTCTATGAATTCGGTTTTCATCTTGTTCTATTAATGAGGTATGGCGACCTGGACCGATGCACATATGTGCCTGGTCCTACGTTGTAGCTGACTGACTGACTGTACGCCATCACGTGTGATCAAGCATACCTGATTATATAAACATGATAATAAAAATAATACAAAGAAATAGACAAATTGTTACTGTTCGAATAACACTTTCTATTAAATAAGTTAATAGAAGGCGTCGACAAAATTAACCGTAAACAGACGTAACTGTAAGACAGCTACTATACCACATTTGATCCTAAAAATGAAACCATTTTTAAAAATACTCTTCGTAGGTTTGTATTTTCCTTCGTTGATATTTAGCACCGAATTCTGATCAATCTCTCACCGTATGTGCCTTGTTATTGGTTGTATTCATAAGCTTTTTCATACTTTCGTTTTCAATAATACAACTAAATCCAAAGACTGAATCTTGTTACCTTCTGACATGTTCTTTAAATTTACTGTTTATCTTCATAAAAAGAGTAAATGTCACCTAGTTTAACTAGTCTCTGGTAACTTTCGAGCTCACGAACTTTCAGCTACTGACTGAATAGTGTGTAAAATCTAACCCGTTTTTTTTAAAATGAGATTAAACTTGTCATCGTCTGTCTGAAACGTAAAAACTTAGCGACAACTAATAATTCATTCATTTGTTGCTTAGTTTAGTAAAATCCCGGGATGAAGTAATAAAAATTAACCATCTCAATGTCCAGCTAATCTTCACTTATTATTCCGATGATAATTATAAATTAATCTAATCAAAATTCATTTCTAATTCCTTAATGAGCTAATCACTACTAGTAATGCCTATAATTTGTAGGTTAGACGTCTTAGTTTTACCTGAACTTTTTTATTTGATGATGACTATTTTATCAAATATGAAAACTTTAAAGTTAGTTTATTGAAGAATTGAAGTATTCCTAAGTAATATGAACAGCTAAGATGTTTTTCTACTTTGGGAATTACAAAATCATGGGCGAATGACAGTTTCTGTCAAATTATACTTGAGGAACTTAACTTTCATTAAACCATGTTGATGAAAAAAGTCAATGTGACTTTGTGCCATCATTCTTGATTATTGGTTTACTCAGTCGGTTTTGAGCCAGCTGGGGGACAAACAAATTTTTTAGTTGAATTACAGACTATACTTTTAAAGTGTCCTTTAATTGCAGTTTTATTCGATCCCCAAACTCTGAAAAATCCTCTCAACACTGTAGAGTTTGTATTCTGTAGAATCCTTTACCTGTTCTTAATTAAAAATGAGATCATGACCGCTGACGTGGATTTGTATCCGAGAGGATGTATTACGTCGTCTTACTGCAGGCTAGTATCCATATACTATTTGCATTTCGGATGTTATTGAAAAATCTCTTAGGGTTGAAATCATTGATAATCATGGCTTCTAAATTCTTCATGAACTCTAAGAAAAACTCAAGTGAAGTGGATTATGTGACGAGTATCTCTGTTTTAACTGTACTATGGGCTTTTCATCGTTATAATATTCTGTTATCTCTCCAGTTTCTCTTTGTTGCCGCCATTTCGTTTTGCACAGGATATTTCTTGTTGTGCCACTGTTTTCACTTATGCTTTTTAGCATCATGATAAATATTAATAATCTGTGTTGTCATATGGTTGACAATCATTGCTGTCAGTTCTTCATTCTACTATTCAGACTAAATCTTTTAGTCTAGACAAAATATTCTGGAATTATTTTATCTGTTTGCGCACCACTGTTGCTTTAAAAGATCAAAGTTATTGAATGATTTTTTTGGAGATATTTTTGTTGTATGTAGGGTTAAACAAGCTTATGTGGTAATTTGTTGTATTTATGTTGTTCTTTCTTCTTATAGTAGTTTTCGGTGAGAGTAATTAGGTACTCCTTGACATTGAAGATTTTATTTAGGCAATTTTCATTTCTTGCAGTACTTAAATGCCACAGTGAGTCTTAATTGTGAAAACAATATTTTCATATATGTGAACTATAGGGTGGTTGGAGTAGTGGTTTGAAATTGAGATTGTGTATATTTTACGCACGCACTTGGATTTGTAGTATAAGTTTAAATGTTTTACTGATAAGGTGATTATAAAAGGACCAAATTTCACTGTTCATTACTTACGTTTCACCGTTTTAGCAATAACTAATAATAATGACTTTCCAGTTTGAGTTGCATTTTATGTTTTAAGTTTTGTTGTTGGATAATACGTAGGCTGTAAGACTTATTTCAATCTGTTTTTTAGATTCGATTTCATGATCGTATTGGACTTTAAGAGATTTCGGTTTTTGCTGAGACAGACTTCTAATATTTTCACTGACTAGATTTTAGTCCTTTAATACGAATTTGTGGCGAAGATACAGTTTTCTCTAACGTTCTTTATGTTCTCAGGATTTTTGGTTTTATACAACCGTGTTATTGAACTGATTTAGTATTCACTTTGACAAGTTGTTGGAGTTTTTTGTATAGTTTAATAAGTTTCAGCCAATAACATTTTCGTTTCTATTTGAATATTTGTGGGTTGTTTATTTTTGTTGTCAGTTGAATTTTGTATATTTAGGTATGTTAGATTCACATACTACTGTTTATACTTTTTAATTCAACTAACTTCACCAATGAATACAATTTCCTTTGTAATCTTTTTTGTTTACTTATTTGAGCAAATGTTTATCTGGTATCAGACATATGCTTTCATTGTTGTGTAGTCCCTGCTCTTTTATGATGTACTTTGTTTTGTTCATGACAATGGTTTTCATCCTTTAGTTTATTATCACTGTAGGGTTATGGAGATTGTTGAGTTTAGATTGATATGATAAATGGATCAATGTTAGACTACCATCGAAAACCTGGAGGCACTGGATGGCTGTTTCGTCCTAGTATGGGAATCCTCAGTAGTGAGCATCCACGACCCCGCGCTCGGGATTCGAACCCAGGGCCCTCGGTCTCTCACGTGAACGCTTGACCTCTAGATCACTGACTCAGCATCTAACGGTGCTAATGTCTTACTTCAACCAATTCACAATTATTGATATTACTATTAACTTGATGTAATATTAGTGCAGTCTAATTCTGTAGTCAATTTTAGTCTTGCTTGATCACTTAGTATTTCCTGATAAAGAAGAGGGATAATATCAGGATTTTAAGACCTAGTAACTAGAAGGATGCTGGCTGGATACCGGAATCTCATCAACGTATCATACTATGACCATAATTCCTTACTTTAACTTGACAGTTAGTACAACAGATTAAAATAACCTATGATAGTGTATCATTAAATTGTTTTCTAATCAGAAAATTTTTATTATCGGTGCTTTAATTTGAATTCTAATAATTAATGATAAGATTATGACATTCAAAACTCTAAAATCGTCTTTATTTGTGATTTTTATTGGAACTGTTCAATTCATGCATTCTTGATTTGGCTTATGACATGTCTTTTGAACCTCATTCATGTTATTAAGATTGTTCATATGCAGTTCTCTGCATGCATTTGTAGCAAAAGTGCAAATGTATCTCAAACATTTTAAACATTTGAATGATATAGGATACTATGGATAGTTTTTATTCGACCTTTCTACATGACCACAGTGTGATATTAAAATATAGGTGACTTAATCTACTTAACTAGTTATATTAACGTTTCTGGCCAGATTGTATTTATTTAGCCACGAATCACGTTTCTGTTTTATTTCTGCTTACTAAGCGTTGTGTGTAAAGATGGGTATATATATAAGGTACATCCATAGGATGTTACTTCTGAAAGGTGAATATTTACTGTGACAAGTTGTAGTCTTGTATACATGTATAATGGCGAAAATCAGTTAGTTGATAAAGAAGAAACTTTTATTTATATTCAACTAGTTCCGTTCTTTGTTTCTGATTGCTTGTTTCGTTGAATTCTGTCAAATATATGATGAAATAATGTGAAAAATGTGAGAAAATTGATTTTTTTGAAAGCAGACGACCAGATAATTAAATATCCTTACAAAAATACGCATAAACTTAATCACTAATTTATCTTTAAATGCAAAATTACCATCGATTTACCGAGGTTTGACGAGAAAAGTGTAGATGGAAATAGGCAAAGAAACATTAAAAGGAATCAGTTTCGTAGATACATACTTCTCATCTTCATTTCTCTCTATTTTATTTTCTTTGTTTCCTTGTTGGTTGATATTCAGCTTCTTCTTGATAATCTTCAAAGCTTAGATGTGAATGCTTTGAATAACAAAGGTGAATCTCCTTTACATATTGCCTGTCGTAATAATTCTATGGAATGCATTGAAAAACTGCTTAAAGCTGGTGGTAATCCTATGATTGGTGAATTTGAATCATTTCCTATTCATATTGCTGTCAATAATGATTCACTTGAGTAAGTTTACTGTTGAATTGCTTTCTGTATGTCATCATTTCTAAAGAAATGGCTTGTACTTGAGGTCTATGGTTGTATACATCTATGCAGATCATGAGGTTTGAGCTTAGCGGTTTAAGTATTCAATCTTCAACTATCGAATCATATTTTCAAAGAACAATGTAAGGATCTATGAGTCAGGTTGTTTGGTATTATTATAAATCGTCATGCATTATACTCAATTGATAAATCAATCTACAAATATGTATAAATTTACTGATTTGCATTAATTGTTTTCATGTTTAGACATATATAGGAGGGCAAGTTGATAATTGTGAATGACGTTAGTCGAGGGTAGTTACAGCAATATCACTATATTTAGGAGAAACATCTGTCCACTAGATTTCAATAGACTTGATTTTAGCTTACCATTTTAATCTGTTAGGTTGTCATTAATGACTCTACAAAGTTATACACTACTTCAGCTTCTTGTAAAGTCCAAATATTATGTTTTGCTGTTGTTGTCTGTGTTTTAGTAGTAGGATAACCATTGTACATTGTTACTTATTTGAACTTAAGGTTTACTGTAAAAGATAGAAAACTCGGAAAAGCTGTGCAAGGTTTCATTCTATGTGTGTACTTCAGTATGTTTTCTTGCTTACTGACACCACGAGTTTTTTTACACTAGGGAATATTTCATTATCTCATGATTGCTAAATTAATGGACTTGTGAAGTTACCGAAATTATTGTTAAAGACAAAATAATGATTTATTAAGTATCGATTTCCGCCAATTTTAAATATGAATAGATTCCATATGTCAGTCGTCAGTCAAAGTCAACGTAAAGCCTGAAACAGAATTGCGTTGACCTAAGACGAAATTAACAACATAGGTAGTGAGGGAATCAAAGTAATATAATAGCGGTTATAATGAGAAAGGCTAAGCATTGAGAGGCATTTAAACTGATCTGAAGACATTTCTTGTAGCCGGAACCTCTCACACTCCGGGTTCACGATATTGGCATGCGTCACAAAGTCCTCCTATGGTTTTTTCACAAGTTGGATACACTGGTATCTATTGTGAAAAACTGATGATCGTTCTCCAAATATGTGTGTCAGGCGTTCTACTGTTTCTCTGAAGGTTGTGTCGGTTGGTTTCTTTAGGAGAATAAAATTGTAAAACTTTTCATGTTCAGAAACTCCGAGATTTCGTAGTAATAATCTTAGTTACGAACCTTCGTCTCACTCTACAATCATTAATAAACAGATCCTCATGGCGCTTAAACCAAATCTAATTTCATTTATTGAATTTGCAATAGAATCCGAAGTCATAGTGGAATTAGATACCTGGGTTTTTGTGGATACTGACATATTCTTAACCAATAATTCGATGGGAGCATTTTGATGTTGCAATAAAGATTTCAGATCATCCATTTTATTGTTACAAAATCCGCTTTAACTGTATATATAGGCGTAGATCCGTTTTAAGCACCGTCACCACAGTTGTAATGCTCGGTTTGCTGGTGTACACGTATGGGACGTTAATTTGCCTTAGACGAATATCTACACTAAATACCCTTCCATTGTCTATTCTAAAGGATATCAACGCAACTCATATCAAGAACACGTGATTAGCCTGAATAGAACGTAAGTATATTTCCACACCAAAACTGACAACCATCACAGCAATAATAAGGGTAAGAAAATACATAACTCATCTAGTACCTGTCAGACTATCTACTAGGCTGACTAAACAAACAACCAATCACAATCATTCTCGCCCATGCATCAGGTTATGATATGCTACTTCTGCTGTTTATACCAATTACCAGTAGATCCTGCATTATTATTATTATTATTATTATTATTATTATTATTATTAGTATTAGTATTAGTATTATCAGTGGTATTATTATTATATCTTAAGATCAATACTGTTAGGGGTTTGAACACTTGTTACTTGTAAAAGTTCGGTCGGAAAATGTTTCTGAAACTTTTGTTAACTTGCTTACTACATAGTCATTTCTATTAAAATTCTGTTTCGTTTGTATATAACTGTGTTTTCAACAAATAACAAGTTGGCAAAATTAAAAATGTAATGTACTTCTTATTTCACAAATAATTATTTCATATAGTATTGTTTGGATTCAATTGTTAGTATGCAAGTAGTTAACTGTCTTGGGTTAGGTCATTCATAAGTAAACATGCATGTGTATAGAAACACATAGTCTAACTCATCACTCATTGTTGTTTGTCGTAAGACGATCTTAATTCATCAAAGAAATTATAACCAAGACCATGAATAACAATCTCATGGTAAGTTTTTTTATTGTCTCATTTCATTGAAGAAATATGAACGAGCACTTTTTTGAGATATATACTGATCATAAGAATGAACCATTGAGAATAAATTCAAGTTTTGTGAAATCAATTGTTAGTTGAACGTGTTTAAGAACTAACAACTACTAACAATTCGGATTTTGTTGGATCGCTACCGAAGGTGTAGGAAATGTTGATCTATTTCAATGGAATTACTTTGAAGTTGTAACCTGTATTTCCTGTTTTTTTTTGCTATTTATAATTCACCTTTCTAAGACATTTTTGGTGTTTTTAAAGGCTTCTTAAAGTTTCAGACAAAGATGTTGGTAATGAATTACTGAAATCATGAATGATACGTTGTGATATTCAAATATGTATGTCACTTTCCACCTAGTTGTTAATAATACTATTCTAATTTATTTTCACTACTGATTCCGTTAAACCGTTCGTTTTTTCCGTCTTTACCAACGGAATCAGATTTCATAGTGACACATGGATAATACAAAGTCGGAGAGAAATTTCATCTGATTTCATGTAATATTTGGTGCATTTGTTCAGTTGAATGATAGGTTTTCTTTTTTAGATTTGTAATTCACCACTTGAAATCTTTTCATTGTAAAAGTTTGTACCTCATCAGCGCTTCTATATATATATATATATATATATATATATATATATATATATATATTGTTTTTGAATTTCTATATTGTAATCGTGTATTATAAATTAGTTGTACTCGACAATTGTATCCTATCTGGTTTTCATTAGTAATAATAGTACTGTCAATAATAATAATAATAATAATAATAATAATGTTTATTCTATTTATTCTTTTTTCTACATTATGAATAATACAGATGTGTTAATCTACTTTACACTTATTGTCCTAATTGTATCAATCTACCAGATTTAATAAATCATAATACTCCAATTCATTTGGTGCATAATCCGAAAGTAAGTATTTGATAATAATAATAATAATAATAATAATAATAATAATAATAATAATAATAATAATAATAATAATATACAGTCATGACAGTTTAATAAATAAATAAGTTGTACATTTTATCTAAATGAACTCCTTGGAGAATTGCGAAATCTAGTTTAATGCAACAAAGTAAGTAGTTATAAATTATTGTATTCTATTTTGAACCACACTTTAATGTACTGACTGATGATAGTATTTATCTGATTCAAATGGAATTAGATAAAGTTCTTAATTTGTTGACCAAAAGTCAAATACTTTAAATATGAAGCGGGTAGTTTTCAGTACATTAGTCAGTCAAAAGAATTTGACCTGGCATAAACACACAACAGCTCAAGTTGTTTCGCGATATCGGCACTGGAAGATGAACCTGATATTGATGTATTGTAAGGGAGTCTTAATAATAGTGGCATTAGTGGTGGTAAAAATAATTAAATATTAAGAATACAATTTAGAAAGGATTGTATTCGTGTAATAAAAGTATGAAATGACACTGCAAATGAAGAGCTAGAGGAAAGGTATAAAAAGAATTCACATGTATAACTGCAACAGATTTTGAGTCATTTTACTTAACGTCTCCAACCACTGATCATGATTATCTCGCTAGGTCCAACTAAGTGAATTTGTACCTTCCAATAAACTTTGCTTCAAAAGTCAATGAATTTATGGATTGATAAAATGTTTTTGTTTGAACTTCACTACATAGATGCTAATCGAAATGGAACTTTAATCAATTAAATAAAAAGCTTTTTAATTACCGGTAGGTAGGAATTATTTAGAAAATCATTTGCATGTATGTCGGTTCAAGTTGGTACACTAAGTCAATGGAAATTAATCACAGGAAGTGCAAATAAGTGAATATCAGAATATAAACTGTAAAAAAGAACTGAAAGACAAAATATGAAGACAATCAAAAATAAACAGTGAGGTATGTACAATTGTATTATGTTTCATCCTTAGAAGAAGCCAAGAAATTGAGTGCATCTGAAAAGTTGGTATCAATTTTGAACCATCTAAAGTCTTTGAACGTAGCTTACGTTCGTCTACCGAACCCCAATCAAAAAGCGTACATCCATTGTTACATTGTTCACCTTAAGTCAATAATTTTATGAACGTACGCTTTCTTGTTCTGTCCACTCACAGCTTTTATCCAACTTAATTCCACACCACTTTACACAACACATGAGGTAGCTTGTGGTTGGTGATGCTTGGCACTTATCCCATACTTATCTGGTACATTATGCTTAGTATCAGCTGTAAGTACACTACATTCTACTTATATCTTGTACTTCCAAACATGTTGTTTCACTACGTCAGTAGAGAAATGAATTCTCTCTTGTACACTCAAGATAATCTGAAGATGAATATCGAACAAGCTGTTTATTACCGTGACGACGGTTAGCTATAGGTATATGTAAACGAACATAATATGCTAGTCCTGTATAATATTTCAAAGTGACTTTTTGAGAAAAATATATTCAAGACTAAATTCCTCAAAATATTTTTTAAATGAATGTTATAATAATTAATCGGATTTTCATATTGTCTTCATATTATTCCCTATTTCCCAACATTTTTTTCAGCCTTAAACGTCATTAGTATCATTTAACTAAAGCTACTTGTTTTTTAAATCGTTTTCTAATTAGTCAAATTTATTCAGAAGTTGTGTACAATATAAGTAAATTCTTATTCATCAGTTCTTGTTGTTTTTGTTCGGACTGACGATACATTTTCTAAAATGTAATAATTTCTAAAAAAATGTACTTATTAGAGGTTTATATTATGGTGTTTAAATCCAACATATATATGTATCTATGTAATTATCACGTGATAAGACAAGTGTGTGGCAACTTCGCTATTGTTTTTGTAAACACTTCACAATGGCTTACAAAAATGCAAAAGTAAGATAATGAGATTACTGTAAAGGTATTTGTTGAGGGTTCACAAATATCCTTCGATAAAGTCCCCGGAAGCCGAAATAGTGACTAAAAACGTTTTATTCTATCAGTATTGAACGGATGTTTCTCAGAAGCATGCAGAAAAGTAAGGGATTATGTATCACATTGCGATCGGATAATTACCTAGTCTGGTGCTACATATAGTAGTTTTTCGGAAGTTCCTAGAAGATCAAGGTCATCTAAAAACTTATACACTCCATTATCTGCTCATAGATTAGTCTTGAAGTAAAAGGTTTACTTGGATTTTATGTATTTGAGTTTCAGTGTAGTAGTCTGGGGTTGTAGGAAGCGCTTAGGACATTAATAACAGCTGTTCAAGTAGCAAACTTATTAATACTAGCATTCCTATAATAGACCATTCATTATTGGCCATCTCATTCGAGAGCTAGTAAAATTTGTTATATCATTGCCCTTGTCAGTTACGCACCAGAAAAGATTTTTTTTACTGCAGTAGGGTTCTGTTTTGAAGAAGAGTTCTACAGGTTCTAACGATGACGATTATGCACATTTCAGTATTTTTAAAATGACGTACAGAACGCTATTTGATATACCATACGATATGGCTAACTGATGACTTCTTATGACATCAAATTATAGATGTAAGAAGCCAAATGAGCTGATGTACAAGGATATGATGATTTGAGAGTAGAATACGTTTACTTCTAGTAAAATGACACTTATATACAAAACATCTAAATTAAAGATATGCGTAATTTGATGTGATTTAAGAAACAAACTTATTTGAAGAGTTCCTTAGGTCACTCATTCTACAATCAAATTAGGATCACTACTGGGCCCGATTCTCCTCAGTCATATCGGGTTTGAATCCACCACCTAGATATCGTAATTGTTCGATACACATGTATTACTATTCTATATTTGTATTTAAGACAGCTTGTATGCCTTCGTATTATTTTCCTTGATAAAGGTTAAGATTACAACACCAGTTTCAAGCTGACGTATTCTTTCATCGGGGTACATCCATGCGAATGCTAATATTCTTCCATTTTTGTTAGTTTTATCATTATGTGCTAATGCAAATGTAACAACGCGAAGATATATACCTCTCCCGTTTTTTATCACATAAGTTGTGCATAATTAAAGAATTTTAAAACATGTGTTTAATCATTGTTTTCATGGATAGTGCCTGCCTGGATTTTTTGTTTTATGTATTTCATCATATTGTTTAAAAAGTTTCCTTAATCTGTACTACGTACTTATACTGTTGAAAATTTCATGATGATGAATTGATCGTTACTGTTAATTAGTCCTAGATATCACATCATATTTAAAAATCAATACAAAATGTATAGAGAAAAATATCTAAATAAACATGTTGAAAATTAATTTTACTGATGTAAGGTTATATGTGTTATGTCAATTATATATACTTAGTCGATATGACTTATTCACAATATATAGTAAATTCTTCGTTAATAGTCAGTCAGCTACAACGTAGGACCAGGCACATATTTGCATCGGTCCAAGTTGCCACACCTCATTAGCGTAACAAGATGAACACCAAATTCATAGAAATAGTTAATTCAATGGAGGTAATATATAAAAGAAAGATTACATATAATGATATGGTACAGAAAGTAAACATTAGTTGGGAGAAAGAAAGATATAAAACAATTTTAATCTTATTGTTTAAAGGAAGACAAAGAGTGTATACACCTACGCCATTGTGGTCGATTTTGAGCCATGTCACGCAAAGTCTGCAACCATCGGTTACGATAGTTGGGCGGACCCCAACCGAGTATTTTGCATCTACCAACATGACTCAGACTAGAAGTTAGTGACTTCAAGGACTGATGCGACGTTCTGATTTGGCCGCCCCTAACGTTCTTCCATTCGTCTCCAACATTAGTCAGCATTGCGCGCCGCGGTATTCGGTGTATAGTTTAAGCTCCCCTGAATGCTGTTTTCTCCATTGAATGGTATGATTTATATTTGGTTCATTTGCCCAGTCACCCTCTATTGCTTTCTGCAGTATTGGTTAACATGAGTAGGTCATGAAGCGTTTACCACTAATTAGATCAAGACATGAAGTCATTGACTGTCTGAGTGAGGTGATTAACAAGCCTCAAACTTCCCTGTTAAGGTTTGCATTGTAATCGCACTATAAGGTTTGGAAGTGTTAGATAACTTTGTACGAAATCAATCGCAGTTGCGATGATGTAGTCATTCTTTAACTTTCTTCTAATTTTTAATGTTATTCATCCGATTCGTTCCACAATTTCATTGGTTTTTTCTCATTAAGGTCTCTGTGTTCAGTTTTCTTATTATCACTGATACTACTTCTGTTTATATTCATGTTATTTTTCTGTTATTACGCTAATATAAATTTTGCCCAGCAGCTATGGTGTCCAGAATTAACTGACTGACTAGAATCTAGCATTACACTAATCAGTTGTATTAAATTTGATTTTATAGTATGGTAAAATATTTTTAAAGAATAGTTTGTCGTATTTGTTCTCTATAGTCGACAAAATGCATATCAAAAGTACGTTTTTTGAAATCATTAACGTGATTTTTTTCGGCTTTTAAACTTTTGACATGTTATTAGTCTAGCGGTTAAAAATATTATGGCTAAATGTCACGGTAAACAACTTTCTCATATTAAATGATACTTTTTAAATACTTATATGAAACATTACATAATAAACAGGATTGTAACAGTTCACTTGATGTATACATAACCAAGGCTTTCTAACTTCCTTATGAAAGTTCGTCTATGTTTTGTAACTGGGTCTTTCTTTAAAAATACTATTTTGTTAATTCAGTTATCTTTGTATTAAACTTTTCTCATTATCGATGATGATCTTACCAAGTCATGTAATTCATTTCTTTGTTGGTTTTTACACAATGAAAATGACCTTACAAAACTACGCGTTTGTGTGTTACTTAAAAAAACCCAGCAATTTTTTGTAGTTTTGAGCATCTAGTCTTCTGTTAGTTAATCATAATAAAAAATCTAGTTGTATTAAACTTTTCAATACTATTACATTAAAACTTTGAAGTAAAATCATTTAGTACGTTATATATATATATATATATATATATATATATATATATATATATATATATATATGTTGAGTAAAAATCTAGCTTGTGTTATCATCTCAAGGTTGCCTTTCAGGTGAATATGCCACTGTGTAAATAAGCATTAACTCCATATGATTCCTTGCATACAATTTGTGAGTATTATGTGTAGATTATCATTTGTCTAGTTTTCACCATAAACATAAGATTTTTCTTTTCTTGTTGCATGAATTTGGTTTTTTATTACTAAAACTGTTAATATATGTAATCAATAAAGTAATGTTCACTGTTCTTTTTAAAAGAGTAAATATGTTGCCATTAAAAAAAGTCCGTAGGTTTTTGTTAAAAAATATATCCAATTTGTCATTTTCTAGACATAAAGTTTCAGTTTTATGCATAATTTTGAATCGTTTTTCTTTCAATATTAATGACATGTTTACTAATTGATATTTCACCATAATTCACTCTTATAGTCAAATGTTTCAATTTGTACATCAAATTACTAACCTTTTCATAATAATTTCAATGGTTAAGATCATCAGTCAGTTGAAGCTAGATCACCATGGAAAACCTGGAGGCACTAAACGGCCGTTTCGTCCCATTGTGGGACTCCTCAGCAGTGCGCGTCCACGACCTCGCCCCCTGCGAGATTCCAACCCAGGACCTACTGGTTTCGTGCGCGAGCACTTAACCACTAGATCACTGAGCTAACCGGCATCCAACGGTGTTAATGTCTAACTTCAACTAATCCACGAAATCGATCGACACATCCACCATTGTCTTCAGTGAGTTACTATCTCACAACAGACCTGGTTAAACCCCACTGGTCACTGCTTCTCACTAGAACTCCAGGATATACCTCTTGAAGCCAATCACTAGTGAGCATATGTTGATTAATACCCTCTTCATAATATCTTACTGCTGGAAAACCTGAATAGGATTTCTTTTCGTCATTTCGACCTTTTTTTTAACTATTCATCTTGTTATTTTTATCTTACTATGTAATATGAAGTAGAAACGTGTATCAACATTCACATACGTCAGGCTGTATGTCCATAATAACTGACTGAATAACTTTTCCTTAAAGTTCACATTCTTATCTGTAATATTGAAAAGTATGTTACAACCCTAACCATAAGCATTGTTCTTTTGTATTCTATGTTGTTTATTCCATACAATTCAAGTTATAAAATATAAAGAGTTTTATCTTAGCATTCATAATATTCTGTACATCATCCAATGTTATAAACATAAACGATATATGATATATTGTTGACATTAGATACTCAGAAACAAAAATCGATGTATCACATAGAAGTAAATCTATTCAAATATATAGACAGTCTTCCTTAATAGTTCAAAGAGAAAAAATAATAAAACGTTTAGTAAAAGAAAGTGTTGTTGACTAGATGTTTGAAATTATTAACAAATACAATTTGTATAGCGTTATAATGACTAACTGAATGTTAATCAAATGATAATAAAATATCAGAATGGGTTTTGTGGAGATTTTAGAAATTTCACAGATTGAAATCATGAGTCAGTTGAAGCTAGACCGCCATTGAAAACCTGGAAGCACTGGACGGCCGTTTCGTCCTAGTATGGGACTCCTCAGCAGTGCGCATCCACGTGGGATAATAAAATATGCTAGATTGTGATCTAGTGACTTCACATGAAATTGGATTTACTGAATTTTCTTTTTCACTGAAAATTCCTTGAATGAATGACTAAATAAAAATCACAGAATAAATATGACTAAATACAGGTATAATCTATGACTAGATACTTAAAGATTGTTTAAAAACAATAAATTTATATAATTAAGCTTCTATGTAATATGTTCTTTTTGTTGTTCACTTTTTTGTCAAAACTGATTCTTAAGCCAATTTTTTACTGAAGACAAATACATATAAAATCTTTAAATCGTCGATTATAAAAAATATCGATTAGACTGTCGAAGAAAGCCTATTCTTCTTGAAATCAACAATGTCATTAGGATTATAAATCAGGCAGCTTAATAAATTATGTGAGATGTGATCATTTAGACTGTTGCTACTAATGCATTTTTAATTTTTTCTACAGCATCGGTAATATGGTAGATTTTCATCGATGCATTAATTACTTCTTAATTTTCAATTTATTTGGAATGTTTTATTTTAATACTTCGATTACTTTTATGCTACCGGGTCTTTCATATTCATCCAATATTATCGCATCTTAGTATAGGATGTTGGTCGTTGAATTTTATAGTTTTACATTACAGATTGACTAAATGAGTGGTGGTCATACAATATTGCGAAGATGATTCGAGTTGGATGTGTAAATCATTAAAGTACCAACTCATTGATCTATAGGTTAAATGATCATTACAGGGTCTGAAGGTCCTCAGCTTTATCTGTAATAGAAGTCATAAATGCACATTAAAGAAGGGTCCCCATACTGAAACAAAACAACTATCCGATGCTTCCTGGTTTTTACAATGCTTTGATTTAAACCAGTGTCGTCAGTGAGTTTTGCTGTCATCAGTTTACTGATTTTTTTCTTTTTTAAAATGAAAGAATAATATTTCGATTTTGTACCTTATCTGTTTTTATAAGAAAACAATCAATTCTATTATGGTATTATATTTTTATTAATAATAAAACGATTGTCTAATATTTGTGTTGCTTACATGACTAAAGTAATGGTTGCAGTGAATAAAGTGATCGGTATTTTATTTTATTATTATTACAGTTATTTGTCGGACAAATTATATTTGGTAATAAATCAGTAATCTTCTTCTGACTAATATTTTTAATTCCTTCCTTTTTTGAAAGGAAAAATTATTTGCTTTTTTGTTTTGGATTTATAGATCTTTGAAAGACTGTGTGAACTTGGAGCTAATTTAGATGCACGCAATGATTTAGGATTGACTATTTTACATATGAAAGTACGCGATAATAATTTCGAAGATGTTTTGGCCTTATTAGTTCGTGGTGCTGATCCAAATTTACCTAATGCTAGTGGAGCAACTCCTTTACATTATGCCATGACTGTAAGCTTTATCGTTTTTATTTTAATTATGGACAATAATGTGACACCTAGTAGTATTTATATCAATAAATTCATTGTTAGATATACTCACAACTTAGGTGCATCAAATTTAATTACTTCTCGTTCGGTACTCAGACAACTAGTCGACTTTTCACTGACCCTGTACATACCATTTATCACGTATTTCGTATTCTTAGACTACGAAATGGGAATTCAATATTCTATATTTTCAGTTATAATCAGTTTATAAGATAACACGATCCTCATTAAATGCTGTCAGCAAGTTATTACATTGCTCCAGATGAAGTGTTTTTCATTAGTCGTGGATTTTCTATTAGTTTCAAGATTTTTGGATTTTAACTAATACAGTTTAAAGGCATTATCCTCACCTTAAAACCGAGGTTATATATATATATATATATATATATATATATATATATATATATAGAGAGAGAGAGAGAGAGAGAGAGAGAGAGGAATAGAGATCGTCAATAGTCAAACATCTGATTAGTAATGGTCATTATAAATAAACAAAATTGATGAAGTCACTAGTATTTGTTCAATTCTAGAATAAATTACGACGGTAATAAATAATGTGGGAAAAGTATGAATAAATAGACATATCATTGTATATATATCTGTTTTATTTAGGTTCATGTTCTTCTATTCCATTTTAAATGTTTTTCACGAGATTTCAGTACATATACACATACATTCATGCGTGAATATCACTTTTTTTCTTTTTCAGTATAATGCATCGATTCATATTATTCGTGCATTATTGGCATTTGAAGCGGATCCTTATGCTCTAAACAGTAATCAGCACAGTTGTCGACATTTATTATGTTGTAATGCTGAGAGGTGAGTTTGAAGTCATTTCGTCGATAGTTTTCTGAGGTTGTTTCTATTAGAAATATTGGTCACTGTGTAATCAGTTTTCTTGTTTTTGCTTTTGATGTAATTTTGATCACGCATTATTTTGAATTGAAATTTGTTCCATAAAACTGATATACTGGTCATTAACTGAGTTATTTTCGTAAATCAAGTAATATGCATTTTCTTCGTTGAACCTACATTCAAAGTTGAAAATATAGTTTGTTGTAATTACTCTATTTGGTGATTTTTGCAATCATAATCCAGCTGTTGTTATTTCATAGCTTCGTTTTGTGAGTATTTCTCCTCAGCATCATTTTTTTCCTGTTATCTAGCACACGGCATTAGCCAGAGACTATTTCTTTTAAAAATAAATCATTAGTGAGTTGTGAATTACTTGATTTCTTAATTTACGATGTTTCTTGAAGCGTAGTTTATATGTATATATTACTTTCATACTAAGCGTAAAATAATTATTGATGAGTCTATGTATTAGGTAATTGACTAAAGAGAAATGTTTTTGATTTTTCTATGTATCTTCATTTATAATTCTGTGCTAAGTAGCGTTGAGGATTTACTTTTCTTTAACATGGTTAAAAAGAATTTTAATTTAAAAATTAAGTTATTAGATAAACTAAAATCATTGTAGTTGTTGCTAAGCATGATTAATGTAGCTAGCAGTAAAATTCAAGACGCACGTTTTGTCTTATTTTGGACTCATCATCTGGTTCCTAGAGTTGATGTTTACACTGATACTCAAACCTATTACCTTTTTTCTTCACACGTTATACATTGAGCTGCTATGTTCAGTTTACAGTTTATTCGTTCAATGGTTATGAGAACACATAACGCTCATCTTGGTTTATACAACCAATCATAATTTAAACTTATTAAAACATGGAACTAAAGTCAACATCAAAGCGACTCACTCTAGATGCACATGTCTCAACAAAGTTTGGTCAAATCCAGTCCTTAATATACCGACTGTTGCTGCTACTTTGATGTGGTGGTCAGGCTTTCATATCGCGCTGTTGGCATTCTTTTGTTTAGGTCCTGAAAATGTAATCCGGGCAACTTTACTGAAGTAAAAGAACTTGATGATCTTTTGTCAAGTAGACGAAATTTGTTTTTGGCATTTAGGCATATGGGTACAGTGCTAACTTAGTTGATATTTTTTGCTTAGTTTTTCCATTATTATTATTGTTATTATCATTATTATTATTATTTTAATATATGAATATTTATACACGGGGCCACCAAATATATATGCACCACACAAAAATCCTTTGGTTCGAGTTCAGGCTGAGATACTGAATAGAGACCCAAACCGAGATGTAGAGCGATCTCTTCTCACACTCGGTCGTTCCAAGGGATTTGAGGGTAAGATTTTCCATAGTAAGAGATAAATTTATAAATATTTCCTCCGTTTACTACAGTTATTGAGCAAAGGTTAGCGGAAATGTAGCTGACTTGTCTGAATTAGGCTCTATTATATTAACTGCAATTAACGACTAATTTTAAAGAAAATGATTTCCTTATATTACCTTCTGTTTGACTACGTCTAGAAGTAAGCCTACATTGACTTATTGATCATTTCTATTCTTTTTTAAACTATTTGTTCAGTCTTACTTTAACTTGAGAGTGTGATGTGATTATTGGTAATATTTAGCAATCTAGATAATAAATTCCGTAACCTGTGTTTACCCTTCAAATGTGTTAAACCACAAGGCACTTTATCATATATTTAGGCCTATTTTCCAATTCATTGAAAATATCTGGACATGTATAGTTCATTTTTCTTGAAGAAATATAAGTCTCCTCCGTTGAGAAATGAAAGTACTCTTCTTTACAAATTTTGCATGTTTTTGTTGTCAATGCGAAGTATGAGATTTTTACCTATAAAGAAGCTATCACCATTTAAATAAATTAGGGATTTAAGTAAACGGATGAATATGCAGTTAATTAGGCTAATCCTTCGTAATATTTTCGATTGCACTATAGTGTCTATGGGAAAGATAGAAAATAGTTAAATGGCATGATTGTTACAAATCAGCACATTGATAATTAGGATTGTTTGAAACAAACGTTGGTTTTTCAAGCATGATGGATATTTTTATTAAAAAATTGCATATTACTTGTCACAAAATCTTGAAGTTGTATTTGGTTATCTTACTTAAAATTCCGAGAGCTATCATTATTAAGAATAGTCTTTTATAATTTGGATTGTTATTTACAGTTCAGTCAAGTGATTTGTTTATAATGATTATTAAATTATTTCATGATCTCTCAAAGTTTTGCTAAGAGTTCATGACCCACCTGCATTACCAGGCAACTCATAAGTGGGTGTTATTAAATAATATTCACACCATATCACAATTAAATTGAATGATACCACAATGCTTTGACTACTATCTTTTGTGGGATAAAAAGATGTGGACTAATGAAGAAGATCCAAAGTGAAATTGACACAGTCTATTCGCAGTGCTTTCTTATTTGATTTCACAGTAATAACAATTCAATTATATACCATTTTATCATAAATAAAATAATATATTTGTAGCATCCCAACGAGTAGAAAAATTAGATTTTCTGACGTTTCGTGACTCGATCCAAGCTATTTCTTCAGAGAACAACTTACCAAATCAAAGTTAATCCGAGTTTAAATAGTACAAAGGAACAACGCAAGAATATTATGATCTTGCGTTGTTCCTTTGTACTATTTAAACTCGGATTAACTTTGATTTGGTAAGTTGTTCTCTGAAGAAATAGCTTGGATCGAGTCACGAAACGTCAGAAAATCTAATTTTTCTACTCGTTGGGATGCTACAAATATATTATTTTATTTATAACAATCTACCCAATGATCAATTTATTCGAAATTATCAAGTCAAATCTTGGTAATGATACCTACACTTTATCATAATTTGGTCATCAATAAAATCAGTGTTTTTATGTCATTCAGTACAGATTTTTCGTAATAAAACATGAATAGTGAGTTTAGTACTAATCTTTTTTTTCATTTTTGTTGCTATAAATTTTCAGTTATATACCTTCACCTGATCGGTAAGTTTAAATAATTAATAATATCTTTTAACATTATTCACTATCCATGGAAATATTCTTAAGAATTTTGCATTTTTTCCACTTTTCACGTTATTATCTGTAATAAGATTTTAAGTAAATACATTTTTGTTTACTTACGAAATCTTTTCAAGTTGTTATAAAATAAATCAATGATAGATTCTTTAGCATTAACAGTGGTAAAACTTTCTTGTTTATATTAAACACATTTTTCAGATAAAGTGTAATATGTAAGCGTTTTGGGGCGGAACTATAATTCACAGATGGGCCAATGAGATTTAAGATAACGCCTTTATTCATAACCCTATTATAAGCCTATTAAGTAGCTGAAGTCTTTCAAGGTCATTTTGTTGTTGCTCTGTGTTCCATAAACAGTTTTATTTACATAAGCTACAGTCTAGTTATCATTTATTTTTTGTGTTGTTGTTATGGGAATTAGACCCAAAGATAAAGCCTTATTGTATGAAAGGTGTTAGAGGGATACAAAATATTACTCAGAATAGTCCAAGGGAATGCTGAAAACGCTAGAAGACATTTTATCCAATCAGTTTTGGGTAGAAGCTTCTCGAAAACATCTAGGAAATTGAGAGTTACGTGTCAAATTTCTGATCTCTTTTTGCTTGATAGATCGTGGTTACTGTGGAATTGAAAACAGTCGCAGTTTTGTTGCCTCTTTGTATATTTCCCTATTTAATTATCCTTAGTAAATACTGTTTCATGTGTGTTAAATGTTTTGTCAGCCGACCCCAGCTACCCTTATCGCTTAGTATTTTTCAAACATTACTTTACACGACTAGTCCTCAAAATCAGAACATAGTTTGAACAGGTGCGTGATTATATTCCAAACAAACGAAGTTGAATGATAGTGAATCGTAGTAAGAAAAGCATTAGTAAATTTATAATTTTACATAAGAAGTTTCTAGAGTTTTCCCCGATTATCCGCTAGCCCTGATTGGTTAGGAAAGAGCCAATCGGCTCGCTCCGATATAATACTGGATGAAACATGCTTTAGTCCAATCCTATCCTGCTAACAATGTGTATCGATACGCCAATGAAGTAACATGTTTTAATAAATATCATTTTTATTAAGGTTTGTCCAAACCATAATCGTCTTGTATTTAATCGATAGCAGTCATAAGGTGAATGTTATCTACATTATTTTAAATTATTTACTAAATCAAACAATATCTTACCATAAGAGTTCTGTCTATTCTTTTATTAAAGTTGTAAGTATACTCCGGACATTCACTTTTCGTCCTCTCAATTTCGTAGACACCACCCCCTTCCCGAGAAGGCAGTAAGACGTCCCTGGCAGTGGCTGTATACGCGTGGCCATGTGAGAGCGTTTCGAGACGGAGAGTTGACTCTCCCCGCCTTCAAACGTACCAGGGCATTTGGGGGCTGGTTCCGGAACCCGGGAACGAACCGGGGATTTATTTCTTACTGGTTCTACATTTAGTTCATATCACTCATAAGATGTAATTTGTATTAAACATATTTTTGTAGTGATTACTTCGAAATAAATATTATGTAGAATTTATGACTGATTTCAAATATATATCTTGTTTTATGTATTCATTGTACTAATGTGTTTCATTTGATTGTTAACTGGTAAAAATAATTTTGTAATTGTGTTATAATTCAATTGCTTATTCATTGTATGTAATCAAACTTTTTCGTCGTGCTTAATTAATTATTCAAATTTGTTCACTATGCATTAATATATAGTTAATGTTAAAATGATCTTGGTGGAGTTTTGTTCTCTGAGCTGGGTGGTTTTGTCGTGGAGCTTTCATCGTTCTTCTGAACGTCATCATCAGCACAAACTTCAGATAGAAGTGAAGTGTTCGAATTTCTCCATGTGTTTCACAGCTTGTTCTGTGCACCTCGATGTTGATTGGTTCTTGTTGACCTTAAATTTATCATTGTTTACTTCTTTGTTTTGGTTATGTCTCCCATTGGTTTGATTTTTGTTCCTATATTTATGCATGATTTTCCTGATTGGTTGATAAATTGGATTGATTTCAATATGTTTGTTGATTGCTGATTGACCTGAGTGCCAAGCTTCTAAAAATTCTCTGGTGTTTTTGGAGTTTCCGCTGTCTAAGATTTCTACATTTTCCCAATCGAATGAGTGTCCGTAGTTATCCACGTGTATTGATATAAGTGAAGAGATATCATGGCGCTTGACTGCTAATTGATGTTCATGTAGGCGTAGGTGGAGGGGGCGTCCGCTTTGTCCGATGTAGTGTTTGTCACATTTAGTACAATTTATTTTGTAGATGATGTTTGATTTGTTTTCCTTTGTTATTTCATCTTTTGGTTTGCATAGGGTTGATTGTATTGATTTTGTTGGTTTGTGTGCTACACCTATCCCGAAGGTTTTCAGCAGTCTCGTTGCGGTTTCTGATATTCCTTGTATGTACGGTAGGGTGATCCTTTTGTTGATTTTTGTGTTTGATTTGAGTTCTGATGCTGTGTGCCGTTGGTGCTTTTTGATGAAGTTGATTGGGTAGCCGTTCTTTCGAAATATGTCCTTCAGGTATTTCTCTTCATTCTTTCGTGCTGCCAGTGTGCTGCAGTGTGTCCTCGCCCTCTTGAACAATGTGTGTACGCAGTTGATTTTGTGAGCTCTTGGGAGAAATTCCAACACTTCACTTCTATCTGAAGTTTGTGCTGATGATGTCGTTCAGAAGAACGATGAAAGCTCCACGACCAAACCACCCAGCTCAGAAAACAAAACTCCACCAAAATCATCCACCTGAGCTACAAATCTTCTCCACCATGTTAAAGTGATCATTAAGTAAAAATGTTGTACAATTTTGAAGTAGTTTTTGTTATGAAATAAAATCAAAATCTAGAAAACTGTTGAAAATCAAAACGTTAGTTATTATTATTAAGCAATTACTTTTTTAACCTTGTCTTATTATAAAACTTCGTTATAGCTTCTCATGTAAATTAAAATTACAAATATAACAAATACGTTATCGTTTACAATGGTTCATTTTTTGTTAAAGATAACATCAATTCATGCCAAAAAATACATTCAGATTAATTTTGCGCAACAATCTTGTATCATGTGGCTCGATTGTATAAAAATTGCTCAAAATGTTCAATTTAAACATGAAATAATAATTCTTATGTTAAACTAGCCAAAATTTACTTAGAGTATCTCAGAAGTGTAGAAAGCACATGATTAGTCCTAATAATAATAATAATAATAATAATAATAATAATAATAATAATAATAATAATAATAATAATAATAATAATAATAATAATAATCTCAAGTAGAGTTTTACTTTTTATCGGTAATCTGAATGATTCTTAATATCTTTTTAGTTGACAAAACACTAAGTAGAAGATCTCTCTCTTTTTTTAATATTTCGAAACACGACAATAATTTATGACATAATTATATTCATGTATATTTAATTCCATAAATTCTTTAAATTTTGTACAATAAAAAACTGATCATCACTTTTCGATTCACTTATCAGCTGATACAGTTTTACAAGTGCATGGATAAGCACGAAATAGAATCATATGGATACTACTGATGGTATTTTTGAGTAACACATGAGTTAAAGTCTGGAAAAGCTAATAATAAAACCTTAATAGTGCCAAATAATAATTATATGATCTCGATGTGATTATGCAAGTGATATTGAATGACTAACTGAATAATTCGAAGAATAAAGATCATAATAAGCAAAGTAATCGTTTTTAATAGTTAAAAATATGTAATTAAACGGTTGTTAGATTACATAATATTTAATAAGGGAATGAACGAAGTATTTTGAGAAAAAGTTAGTGTTATGATAGTATTAGACTATACAAGATATCATTCTAGTATAACTTTTCTATTAAAGCTCACAATAAGTTCTAGAGAGCCTAAAGCGCGGTTAAATCATTGGCTACAGAACTCAAAAATTGATCAATACATTGTGATAACTATATATTTTTTTTGGAATTCAATAAGTAATAATTAAAAAGCAAATAAAAAATATTTTGAAAGTGGATAAAATAGCAATTAATTAAGTAAAGATCGTTTAGTGTATAGTATGGTGTATCTTTCTGTCCTTGATTATATTATCTCTTATAGCCACATTTAAAGTTTGTTCATAATATGCATATATATTAACACATTATATAGATAGCAATCTCTTTGTTTATAACTATCATAGCGTTCAGATTTATGTATCGTGATTATACAAACTGCAGATATCAGGTTATTTGGGTCACTATGACTTACTTCAGAGGTGAATTAGTATTGAAAAAATAGTTTATGGTTATTTTTAAATTCATTGTTAAAGTCTGTGCCAAAAATTAGATTTTTATTTGCTTCCATTGTGTTGACGTATAAACATACTACTTCAGTTTTCTTGTTCTGTCAATTATTTCAATAATTCATAAACTGTTTAAAACGTTGTATGTATGTGAATCGATTAAAGTTGCCGTACCTTATTAGCACAACGTGATAAAATTATTACAACAACAAGTAGTAACTATCAGTGGTAATAAAGGAAACTAAGTATAAACTATATGGTATTTTAACATAAACATTTAATCGTTGTGAATGATGAATCATTCTCGGCCATGTCATTCGAGCATGGGTTACTATGATTATGAAGACTCCGACCTAGTGGTTTGCATCTACCTGCACGGCTCAGTTCATCTGTTATTGATTTCATGGACCGATGTTACATATTGGTTCGGCCGCTCCTAACTATCTTTCAACCTTCTATATAAGCAAATGTCTGATTTCTTAACAGAAGACGTTTGGGCCTAAGTAATGAATATTCTATTCAGTCGATGAGGATTCACTACATGGACTACTAATGCTCCAAAGACATCTATAAGCTAAGTACTACTAATCTACAAATCTCTATTTCTAAAGGTAGAAAGAAATGAGCTGTTGCGCAGTATACTCATAATCTATTTGAAAGATTGACATCTCGCCTATGCTATAGGTGAAAAAAGTTGACAAAAGCCGATCGAGATTTTTGAACTTGTACCGAGAGAGAATCAGACACCTACCCACCAAAACTGATAACCCGACCAGGATAAGATTGTCGATGCACTCAGCTACTTCAATCCCTGCCATTAATTTAGGCGTTGTCATAGACTCACCCTGAAGTAACGTTTCACACTTATGGGGAAAGAAATGCACCCTAAACATGATCACATTATCGAGTCAAGTGGTCAGAACACTGTACTTTATCAGCTTCCTTGCAGACAGAATTATATTATGTTCGTATACTGGCAAGAAAATCGGTCACTGAAAAGTCACAACAAAAGCATTATCTCTGAAAGACTTTGAGAAAAAAGTTAACTAAGGGTGAGAAAAGTGGGAAGTTTTGAGAAATACCATTAGATGTTGTCAATTTTGATGGCAGTTCGCCATAAGCTTTGATTCAATCATTCATGTTCATGTGTAGAACCTTCATAGAGTCTATATACTTCTTTACTATGCTCTTTAGTGTCAAATGCTACCACAAAACCTGTCGATTGACAGACACGAATACTATACTAATGTCGAAAAATACAAGTATTGTTAGGCGTGGGCTTGTTTAAGCTACAAAACCTAACAAAGGGTTGTTTTTTATTATTGAAAATGATATAACTAATTGTAATCACCAAGACTCTTTAGTTTGCTTCTTTTCTATTCAAAGTTTTCAACAGTACATTTGTATAAAATTAAAAAGAACAGTCAATTCTATTTAAATAACTAAGCAGAGGATTTTCCTTAGTAAGATCATTTAATGTTTGGGGATAAAATGTTGTTCAAATGTGGTCAAATTCAAAGATTTATTGTAATTATTGCGAAATAAAAACAACTTTCTATGATATAATAATTGTTATTATTTACATTTTTAACAGCTCATTTAAACCATTACATTCTGCTTTTACCAAGTTTACAGTTGTTTAAGTTGATCTTTCTATTTGATAGTGAGTTACCCTTATTTTCTCATTTTATAAATATTACGATGAATAAATAATTTTACTGTTCAATGGGTTCAATATAATACAATCTTTTGAAGTGCTATTTTCTATGTTCATTTACATGAAATCTTCCTTAATTAGAATAAAACAAAATAATATAATTCTAGTTAGTTTTCATATTTTCATTGTCGTTATTATTATTATTATTATTATTATTATTACTATTATTATTTTAAATATAATTAATGTTGAAATCTTCAAATTAATTACTCTTTGTTTCGTTCCTCTTTTTTAAAAATTTTAAAAAATGTCTATCTAATTAATAAGAGTGGAAATGAAACTAGGTCTTTCACAAGTATCCTTAGTTCAGCTAAATATTCATGTTAGAATAAAACCTATGTTACTTACTTATGACTGTTACCCCTCGTGGAGGAGCATAGGACGCACACCAGCATTCTCCATCAAACCCTGTCCTGGGTAGTCCTTTCCAGTTGCTATTCATCCTTTTCATGTCTGCTTCCGATTCCTGACTCGATGTGTTTTCTTGAGCCTACCACTTTTCCATTCCCCTTCAGGATTTCAATTTAGCGATTTCATCGTGATGCGATTTTATGACTTCCGCAATTTATCTCCCATCCACTTCCATCATCTTTTCCTAATTTCCTTTTCAAATGAAAGCTGGTTTATTATCTCCCACAGTAGGCTGTTGCTGATGATATCCGGTCGACGGATATTGAGTATCTTACGTAGACAATTGTTTACAAATACTTGTACCTTTTTGATGATGGTTGTAGTAGTTCTCCAAGTTTCGTCTCCGTACAGTGGGACTGTCTCAACATTCGTACTGAAGACTCTTACTTTGATACTGGTTGACAGTTGTTTTGAGTTCCATAAGTTCTTCAATTGTAGGAATGCTCTCTTTTCCACATATTTCTGCTAGTCGGCTCTAATGCTCTTCTTCATTAGCTTGTTTTCCTCTGTTTGTTCAGCCTGTGCCTTGATTTTCTCTGTTCCTGTTCGGCTGTTGTTAATTGCTGTCTTCTTGTTCTTCCTTTCTTGATTTCGATAGAGATCCATTCCTTATTATTTTAATGTATTACAGTTTTCAATCAATCCTTGTTTATGATAGTGCAAACGTAAATAATTTATCACCAATGGTGTATTCTATTGTCATTTCTTTCGTGTATTTCTTTTGTTTGTTAATTGATCATACCTAAGGGCGCTCACAACCATGTTGGGCAATTAGTTTTTATACAATTGTTTTAAAGAAATATGATTAGTTTCGAGAAAATGTCTTTAAGTTCGAATGACAAGCTTTAATGTATAAATTTCATACAGGCTGAAAGTGTACCATATATCGTTTATAGGAATGGTTTTTCTCGTAATATCGTAAGTTTAAACTGTAAACTATTGGATTCTGACTCAATGACCTGAGTTGGAGGTGTGAAGTTTCTGGTTTCGTTTCCTGTCTATGCTTATTGTTGAGGAGTCAGTCCCTGAACTAACATTGAACAAGTGTTCATAACTCTTTGTTTCTGTAATGGTTCATCAACTGATATCAGTTCGTGACAAAGATCGTATTAAAAATAGACATCAGTTGTTGTTTGTTACAGTAAGTTATTTTTGATTATTTGGTATCTGGTAATTTCTAAAATAATTATATTGACTTACAGATTTTGGGATATTGCTTAATACTACTGGTAATGTTAACGGTTATATTGATCAATTTTTTTTCTTCCAACTTGTTTTTTTACGGTAAAGAGACTTAGCCCTGTACACTTTGGATGCATTAGGTATCAGTCGATGTCCTCCTGGGACTGTGGATTGCACGGAAGGTTGTATGGACCTAGAATGTGCTGAAAAACGTAATCTATCTGTATTTAATGGTACACCTCCAGAAGTAGTTCCTCATTTAGCAGATATCACACGTGAATGTAAGTTGCTCTGTTTACCAAAACTACGCTATATATATATCCTTTTATTTATATTCTGGATGGATAGTTTGTAATCGTCTTGTTATAGAGGATATATGATACAATGACTTAGATGTATAGTATTATGCTCTTTTTTTGTGGTATGAGTTGCAGTCCAGCCACTGTAACATTCTTCTAAACGTTTGGACAATTTAGTTAAAATACGAAACAAAGACTGAACGGGAAACTATATTGGTGAATAGTGAACGATTGTAACTGGAACTCGTGTCTTCTGAAAAGGAAAGAGGCTATGTTCGATAGAAATGTTGGGATGACATTAGTTAATTGAATAGTTATTGCAGTTGTTTTGCGCTTTTATCTGCCTTTTTATAAAAATGCAAAACACCATATGACTTATTTAGTTCTTTTGGTTTGTTATATTGTTTCGTAAGACTGAATTCCTATTCATTTCTATTTTATTTTGCAAATAATAAGTTTAGCGTACCTACTAGTATATGAACTCATAAGAAATTATTAATTTTCATTTACATTTGTTATTGAAAAGCACGATCCTGATTTAGTCTTTTCGGCTTCTGGTTGACTTGTTCGCTCTATTGATTTTCAAACCTGATCGTTTTTATTACTTATTCGAAGTGAATCTCTGTATGCTAATAAAGCTGGAATTTATATTTTGTGATGAATAATTCATAAACTAATTAATTTTTTATATCAACGTTAAGTTCTTAAGACGTAAAGTTTATCTATTTTGAAAGAACTATTATAACTAATATTGTTATCGGTATTAAGAGTTTATCGTATCCAATATTAATTTATATTCACTTATTCTGTGAAATGTGTCTCTGAAATATCCGTCAAGTAGTTGTCGGTGTTGTATTTTTCTCAGATTTATATGCTCGGTTAGTTTCTTTTTTTTCACATTGTATATCTGCAAAGTACCATGATGTTGTTTCTAGTAATTAAGGCTTCAGTTTTTGATAGTCAATAATGGACAATATTGTTTTTACTTTACCATTATCCGATTTTTGAAATAACGACGAGGAGCTGTTGTTTGATGATTTAGGAAAATATACAAGAGGTCCTCGGTTAAGGCTTTTCAGTACAATTACTTTGTTTCACTATCTATTAAGAAATATAAAAAGAGTCATGCTTTCTCATAAACTAGAACTATCATCAATCATCTGGACAGTCAGAACAGATGATTTGCGTGAGTGGGGCTTCTCTGTTAATCGCCTACCTATCCGCAAAATTTTTATATTTTTATCGTGTGATTTGAATAGACTAGTTCAATTAACGGATAGTTTTCGTTACAAATTGATATTATCAGAAGGGGTTAAGTGGAGATTTTAGTAATTTCAATAGTTGAAATCATAATTCAATTGAAGCTAGACCACCATGGAAAACCTGGAAGCACTGTATGGCCGTTTCGGCCTAGTATGGGACATTAACACCGCTGAATTCCGGCTCAGTGATCTAATGGTTAGGCACTAGTGCGCGAGAATGATAGGTCCTGGGTTCGAATTTTGCGGGGGTCGGGATCGTGGGTGCGTACTGCTGAGGAGTCTCATACTAGGACGAAACGGCCATACAGTGCTTCCAGGTTTTTCATGATGGTCTAGCTTCAATTGACTCATGATTTCAACTATACAAATTGATATTAAATAGATAAAACTGAGAAACACCGAAATGTTGTTTTCGTTCTATTTTGCTATTGCTTGGAGGTCCACGACCAACCCCCCGGGAATCAAACCTTAGGAGATTCAAATCCTTAGATCATAATCCGTTTATTCAAATTTATAAGCCAAGTTGGCTTTCAATATTGCAAGACCTTCATCCAATTTCCCCAATGATATCTATACCATTCGTAAGTCTATTTAAACTCCACTAAACATGACTTTCACTTGAACTCTGAGAGTTCTCGAAGCTATTCATAAGTGAGCATAATAAAAAATGCTCCGTAGTACTTGTCAGTCTTATATGACTAACGTTGATCCGTAATGAAAAGAAATTTTTTAACCTAACCTTTGCGTACAAAAACAGTATATAATTTTTATTTCCGTTATTTCTCTCATCTTTTCTTTTAATTTCATTTTCACTCTTTAACCTTGTATTGTCATTGTTTTTTTCTGTAAAAAATGTCATGTTGTTTAGAATTTTTAGCATCTTTACACCGTTAACTCACTAATGAGTACTCATTCATTTATTTGATTATATTACTATTACTAGTGAAAATGCATCTAACTTGAAATAAAAGCTACTAGTATTATTTTTTTTAAAACAAGTGGTTTTTTTTAGCAGAGATTGATGGTGACCAAAAGGGGATCCAAATATTCCTTAAGTGGGTTAATCAATCGCAATTCCAAACATCAATCAGAAGATTCAAGTAACCAGTGAGCATCAGTACTCAGTAGTCAAATGGGTTACGCGTTGGCTCATGAAGTTAATAGTACCGCGCTTGATTCCCGGAGATTTGAGATCTCTCTTCATTTGACTCAGTCACTTTATCCGACTGGCAGAAATTAGAGCACGGTTCAACAGGTTCAAAATTATATTCCAAAAAAATCAAGGTTTAATGAGAGTGACAATCACGGTGCAAAAACTGTTAGTAAATTTATAATTTATACACGAATATATTCTTACCTTCTTCTTCTATCTTCTAACACTGATCGTCTAAAAATGGACTAATTAGAGTGTCTCACTATCATTCTGCGTGAAACATCTAATAATCCATCCTATGACCTACTAACACAGTGAATATCAACTCTGGGTTGCAGGTATATTCAACTGAGGAGCCCCAAATTGGACAAAACATGCATCCTGGATCTCACTGCTACCCACCATCCATCTCTGTATGCAAATGCTTGTACGTAATGGTAACAACGAGGTATTCCACACAAGATGCACGTATGCTTAAAGGGACTGATCAGTTGCAGTTTTAGGCATCAGTGGGGATGTTCAAATATCCAATACATAAGAAGTTACACGAAGTTTAAACATGCATACCATGAGATGGTATTTGAGTGATTCTTTTTCAACGAAACCGAATTATACTGGTTCTTGTTTTGTAGAACACTTGTTTTATTACGAATATATGCATCCTATTCATTTGATGGTTTACGTTGTTTAACTCAATCTTTTTTGTTGCGTTATAATAATGAAATGATTTTTCCTTAAATGTTTTGAGACGTTTATTGTAACATTATATTAGAGAATAATAAAGTTAAGAATGACTGATCTTGTCTAAACACGAGATTTTTTACTCAAAAAAAGGCATTCGTAATTTAATGTTCTCTGACCAAACCATCCAGCTCAGAGAACAAAACTCCATCAAGGATTTTTAGTGCTGTTTGAGGCTAGCAATTCTCAGGTTAGACGGAAAATACTAAGTAACCGTAGAAAATCGATTAGGAAGGTAGTCAAATCTAATCATTTGCGATAATTAGGATATGAAATACATAATCCCATTCATCAGTTAGCTCGACGTACGATTATGGCTGGTTTCGGAGCGAACTGGAACTTGGGGTCAGTCCATGAAGATACTGTTTGTTGAGTAGAGCCATGTAGGTAGGTGTAGCTTACCTGGTTTGAGTCCGATTGATTATCGTAACCAATGATTAGAGGCTTGAAATTACATGGCTGAAAGCCGTTCACATTGTCTCGATTGCTTTCGTTTTTGTCTTTAATTACTTTTTAACTTTCTAAGTTCCTCATAAATTTTTATATGTCACTAATATTTATTTTCTTGAATTGTATTTTTCTGTATCTTTTCTGTTTCCACATACTGTCACTACTTCTACTACTTTAGGATTCGCCCTGAAAACTCTGTCTTACTATGCCAATAGAGTGTGACAACTTGAACCTATATACACGCATGCTAAATTCTACGTTTCGTATTACTGACTGACCGAATGAAACGAAGGTAGAGTATCTTTATAGAGAATGTACCAATAGATCATATCATATTCTGCGCTGTTAAATTAAGTTTGAGAACTTCACAACTTGTGGTTGATAATATTGTATAAATTATCGGCAAATGCCTAAACGATATAATCCGAGATGCCAAATTCTATTTGCGTGTATTCTTTAATGCCTTATCTTGGCTTGAACATTGGGTCACTCATTACTCTAGTTTTATCTGTTTCCCAATATTTTCATTGTGTCTTCTTGTCAATCCACTTTCCACTGATTTCCTCCTATAATGTTGTCTGACATTGTAACAGTTCAAAGCAACCTAATTTTGTGACAGTGTCTTTATTTTCGTAATCAGTTTATCACTACTATTCTCTTAGAAGAAATCCCTGTTACGATTGGTCGAGATTTTCTTCTTGTTATAACTTGTCGTTTGAATGCTTATTGTCTTGGCCTTTTAATGCTACTTTTTGTATCTGGTCGTCGCTGATTGTTATGTCGAGAACGCTTATCACTTATACTCGGAACGAGGAACCTCTGCAATTCCCACGACGCGAAAGTAAGAACACAAAGACTGGTATAGGTGGTGATTTATTAACCCAAAACACTATGACGACGATTCTAGTAGAAAATACACTGATTTATATATTGATTGTACACCCATTTTGACTAATAATTAGGATGAAATCACATACATGAAAAATACTTAGAGTTATAACAAATCACATACTGAGCATAGTTCATGTCAATGGAATACAACAATATCGCATATTATACAGAATAAAATATCATACGAGAAAAGAAAACAAATACTACATTGAGTAATCATTACATTGAATCAAAACGGAAGTAATCTTGAAGTAAACTCATAATGAGTAAATCAATCGAAAATTGACTTTTCTTTCCATCATATCACCTCTCCTTCTCTTTTTTTGAAGACTCTATGTTCAGATCCATCTTTAAATTCTATGACTTCACTTCTCTTTTCAAGTTTGACAGGATACAAGTATTTTTTGTCATGCTAGAAGTGCGTAACAAACTATAACCCACTGAATAGTTAAGTAAATTGTATTATTCAACTTTAGTGATCAAATGTGATTATAAGTGGTTAAATTTCAGCTATAAATACACGGCTCCAGAGCCTATTTCATCAAACGGAAGTAAGTCGGTTGGCACTTCAAGTCGTGCTAACTAAACAATGAACACTTTGTTCATTACACAGCTCCAAAGTAGAGCATTATTGATAATTAACGAGTTGTCGATATGTAATTTCTTTTAAATTCAATATAGTACTCTGGTTTAAAAACAGACAAACAAATATTTATTTTAATGTAAGTGCACTAATCTTTTATTCAACAATTATAACATTTTTGTGAGATTATTTCATTATATTCAGTTATTACAATCACCGTAATTCTATACATTCACCTACTTTCTCGAAAAATAGTTATTTTTGTTTCTAGTGATGTAGTTTTATGTACTATAGTGTTCTTCACAAAAAAAATGAAACAATAAACGCCTCGACTAATCCGTATCAATAAATTTAACATAACACAAAGTGATAACATAGAACTGGTACGAGTGAAAATTCATTGACTCTGCAAAAACACGTCTTCCACACAAGTCGTCCAAAATCACATCATCACTAAACCAAATACATTCATTCATACACTGATTTTGCACACACTTGATGATTCTAATGAAGTTTGGTTCTCTGAACTGAATGCTTTGGTCGTAGAGCCTGCATTATCATTTCACTGTTATCTGAAGTTTTTGCTGATGATGTCGTTCAAAATAACGACGAAGGCTCCACGATCAAACCATCCAACGCAGAGAACAAGTCTCTATCAAAATCATCCACCTGAGCTACAAATCTTCTCTATCATCTCACTTGATGACTCGATAGTAAACATCATATTTATGAAGAGATGCATAAGGTTACTAGTAAAACAGATACAAAATTCATACAGAATGGTATAAAAAATATAATTGTCACACTGGAAGGATGTTTACACCTGTCGTACTGATCGAAATTGACACTTAATGATTACGAAACATATTAAACTGAGATTATGTCACACTGGAAAATATAGACTCACTATGATATTGACTAAATGTTACACTAATGGTGAAATCAATGTTGAATATCACGCTGATAAGAAACTAACATTTTACTGAATAAAATATCATGATTTGTTGCACTGAGAAAGAGCAATATGTAAACTTCTGTATTCCGACATATTACCTTCATAAGTTTGTCAGTAATTAGCGTACTTTAAGTCTATCCTTGTGGGTCATTTGTTACGGAACCTTATGTTAAATTCTGGTTGTTTTTATGTTACCGATCACTAAGTTTCTTGTCTATTCTCATTGAAATGTTATCATCTTTTTCGAAACTCCATTTTCTTTCACTAAGTACAAACTTTAAAAACTGTAACTCAATAAAGTAAATGTATATGAATTCATTAATCAATATGACTGTTATTGTAATTCATCAGTTCACTAGTTATTCTACAGTGTTTACACTAATTATTAAAACAAAATACTATTTTATTTCGCAAAAGTATCTTCACTACTTGTATATGATATCTTAAAATTAATTATTTAATTGTTTATTGTTAAATTATAGCAATTGAAGAAATTCTCTTATCCACTACTTCAGCTGATTATAACCCCTCACTTCAAACAAGTCAAATGACTCAATCACAAACAATGTTGAATAATGACTTATCAAATGGTATGATTCCACGTTCATACAATTCTCATTCAGAAAACCATGATGTAAATCAGAGTAATATTAAACAGCGACATTCACAACAATTTTCACATACTCCAAAGTCGCATCGACGAATGGTATCTTTACCAAATGATAATAATGTACAGTTAGTCAATCAATCCCTGTCTGACGGTAGTGTACACCTGGCATCTTTTAGTGTTCGTAAGTTGAATTCTACTTTGTAGATATTTTTTGATATCTAAACTAATCATAACTCCATCTGTAGCTCTTCTAAAGCTACTGCCAGTTCCAAGCCCATACGAAGGAGGAGGGTTGGGCGTGTAGTCGACAATCCCATACCGTAGAAAACAACCTTGTTAAGAAAAATGCTAAACAAATTAAACCATTTAAACTCTGCCCTCCTAGTTGAAGGAAGAATCATGACACCTCATAATGAAATTCGAAACCTATGCCCATTCTAACAACCAGAGCAAACATTTTTATCGGTACATAGAACGTCCGGACAATGTGGAAGACCGGGAGGATCAGTCAAATAGCAACGAAAATGAGGAGATACAAATTGGTGCTTCTTGGAATCAACGAAACCCATTAAACCCAAACTGAACAGAAAAGGCTAGATACGGGAGGGATGCTTCTATATTCCAGTCATGAAGAGGAAAATGCACTAAGCACTCAGGGAGTTGCTTTGATGCTGGCCAGCAAAGAACGAGACACACTTATAGGATGGAAATCTCATGGACCCAGGATCATCAAAGCATAATTGAAAACAAAGAAAGAGAGAATCAAAATGAATGTTATCCAATGTTGTGCACTCACCAGTAATAGCAACGACGACAATATAGATCCGAAGGACACCTCATCAAAATACCAAAGAAAGGAGATCTAAGCAAATATGAGAACTACAGAGGCATTACACTACCGTCAGTCCTCAGAAAACGTTTTCAACAGAGTGTTGCTGAACCGGATAAAAGACGCAGTAGACTCAAAAATACAAGATCAACAGGCTGATCTCCGTAAGGGTCAGTTGTGCACAGACCAAGTTGCGACATTACGGGTCATCGTTGAACAATGAGTTGAATGGAACTCGTCACTATACATCAACTTCATTGACTATGAGAAGACGTTTGGCAGTGTGGATAGGAGAACGTTATGGAAACTTCTTAGACACTATGGTGTACCTGAGAAGATCGTCAACATCATACAAAATTCATACGACGGAGTTTTAGTGCAAAGTGATGCATGGAGGACAGTTGACAGACGCATTTCAAGTGAGGACCGGAGTTAGACAAGATTGCTTACTCTCCCTCTTTCTCTTTCTTCTGGTGGTTGATGGATTATGAAGACCTCGACATCTGACGGGAAGCAAGCAATACAGTGGACAGCTCGGAATCAATCACAGATGACGTGTTCCTTCTATACCACACACACACGAACAAATGCAGATGAAGACAGCCAGTGTGGCGACACAATCTCTGCACTAGAAGGCCTCGAAATACACAAGGGAAGAAGCAAGATTCTCAAATACAACACGGAGAACACCAATCCAATCACACTTGATGGAGAATACGTGGAAGAGATGGAAAATTCCGCGTATCTGGGAAGCATCATCGATGAACAAAGAGGATCTGATGTAGACATAAAGGCGGGGATTGGCAAAGCGGAGAGAGAATTCCTACAATTGAAGAACTTATGGAACTCAAAACAACTGTCAACCAGTATCAAAGTAAGAGTCTTCAGTACGAATGTTGAGACAGTCCCACTGTACGGAGACGAAACTTGGAGAACTACTACAACCATCATCAAAAAGGTACAAGTATTTGTAAACAATTGTCTACGTAAGATACTCAATATCCGTCGACCGGATACCATCAGCAACAGCCTACTGTGGGAGATAATAAACCAGCTTTCATTTGAAAAGGAAATTAGGAAAAGATGATGGAAGTGGATGGGAGATAAATTGCGGAAGTCATAAAATCGCATCACGATGAAATCGCTAAATTGAAATCCTGAAGGGGAATGGAAAAGTGGTAGGCTCAAGAAAACACATCGAGTCAGGAATCGGAAGCAGACATGAAAAGGATGAATAGCAACTGGAAAGGACTACCCAGGACAGGGTTTGATGGAGAATGCTGGTGTGCGTCCTATGCTTCTCCACGATCAGTAATAGGCCTAAGTTAGTAAGTAAACTGATTATGTCTAGAAAATTGTTAAAATTGTCATAATATTGAACGACGTACCAACTCATAATACTTCTTTCTTTAATATATATATATATATATATATATATATATATATATATTCGTAACGTTCAATTCATTCCTCGTCATAGCATTTCATCAATAAAGATGAGTGATATGATTTGATGTAAGTTTAATCAGGGGTCAAATTATTCGTGATTTTTTATGTTATTTTGTCCTGGGTTGTCTTATTTTATACTGACTGGAAAGTGTGCAAACTACCTCTTTGCAAATAATCAACACTATTTATCATTCTCTCGCTATTCTTAGAGAGCTAACTAGTTAGTTTTTAAGAGTTGTATTTTTTAAGGATATATTTTTCAAACAACAAGCTATTTTCAAAAAGTGATTTAGCAGATAGTATATATATACGAACTGTTATGTTTGGGGATTTGAAAGTTTTCTCACTCTTTTCCTGATTGAAAGTAACTGGTGTGTAGATAGAAATTAAAACAGAAGTGTCTCATCATATATTTTAGATGGCTACATATGTTTCCCTAATATCACGTTTATATTCATAAATGTTTATTTGTTTTTTCATTGGTTGTTTAGTTGTTTTAACACATTATGTGTAGGTAGTTTGACCTAAACTTAGTTTATCACAATTAGTTTATTTCTTTACAACTGTTCGTCTTGTTTAGTCTCTTTGGTCTCAGTAATTAAAGCACTAATATTGATTGTTCGCTGTAATTATTTTCCCTCATGAATGCTAACTTTTATTGACGATAGCTACGCCAATAATTGTTTTTTCCACTGGGCGTATTTACGCAATTTTCATAGAAAAATGTCATAAATTCAAACGATTCATTGCAGAAGTATAATATTTTAGCAATTTAAAAGTTCTCATAGAATATTTGAGACCAAACAGCACCAAACCAAGTGATAGCTATCGATAACTTCTTCAAGCGACTCTACTGTTATGCATCAAATCATTATTATTATTATTATTATTATTATTATTATTATTATTATTATGTAACAATTAACAAAATATTAAAGTTGAATTAATCCATGTTCTAAATTGAAGTTGGTAAATTTCACATCGATTTAGTCGTAAATATTAAAAAAATATTCAATAAAATAGTCAATAGAAATGCTAAGATGAGATCACACATAACGGTCAAAACAATTATATGCTTTCGGGTGATCACTTGTGATCGGTAGATTAAGATTCTATGTAGAAACAAGTTAATAAAAAGTAAGAATTATTGTACAGTAGTTGTGATTATAATAGTAATAATAATAATAACAACAATAATTATTATTACCATTAATGATATTAGCTGTTATTAGTAAGAATATCATGTGAATTGGACGAATGTATAGTCAAGGTTAAGTAAAAAATATCTTACAAGGGAGTACAAATCACAATGAAGGGTATGCAACAAAACTAAAGCAGCAAATTCATGGATGTGTATTTACTTTGGTGACCGTTCAAATCCAAACTATTCATCTGTATGAAATCACGTATTATTTGCACACTATTGTGTTTAATAAAAAGTATCTTAGTAAACTGTCTTAGATTCTGTTGACAGTATGCACATAGGTTTCTAGCTAAATTGTATCACTCTGATTTGTTATCAAAGGTTAGGTAAATAATTAAGTGAAATTATTTGATAAATTTCACATCATAAACTGTTTTCGGTTAGGAAAATCTCGGAAGTACTGAACAGTTATCTTGCCCTAGTACAAGATTCCTCAGCAATATTTTTGAACGATTGTATATAACGTTGTTTTGAATGAGAATATAAAATGAAGTAACAGAAATTTCATTATTACTAGTCATACTGTAGTGAACGAAGACTTGGTGGGGACAACCAATTTATTTAGTTCAAAACTACAAAGTTTCTTCGTAAATTATGAAAACCTTACATTACATACTCCATTTGCACATCTTCCATCAGTTTCTCTTTACATACTTTATAATTCTCATAATGCTCAATTCTTTTATGTTTCCCTATCTGTTTAGTTCAATCTTCTCAGACATTTCGCATCTGATCAGTGTTACCTACTTCTAATATCCGTCAACCTAATTAGCATGCTCTACAATACAACTACTACTGGTACAAAATATATACATAATTTCACAATTTAGCAAATTGTTAAAGCTAGACATAAACACCGTTGGATGCTAGGTCAGTGGTCTAGAAGTTAGGCGTTCGTGCGTGAGAATAAGGGCCCCGGGTTCGATTCCTTGATGCAGGGTCGTGAATGTGTATTGCTGAGGAGTCTTATACTAGCACAAAACATCTCTCCAGTGCCTTCAGGTTCTCAATGGTTGTTTAACGAAGATCAGTTCGTGATCTGAACCATGAAAGTTTGTCACGTAGTTTGCAGAAAATATAATGCAAAAAATATCTGAAACTCAGCGGACTACAGAATCAATAATTCAGGATTAAATTTCTGAAACTCAAATCATTACTTGTTCACTGAAACTGTTTGGCTAACGATGCATGAATCATTGATTATTTGTTAGTCTATACAGTAATAAAGTTCATGTTTTTCTGTCCACCGACTACAAACATCTGATATCAAAACAGATTACAAAACATAATATCACTCCATTTATAGTATTTATTACATTACTAATCACCTAAAATCGATGTAACTCTTATAGGTTAAACATGATTGGTTACAATCAGAGAGGGTTTTTTGTGGAGATTGTAGTGATTTAATGAATAAATTCATGAGTCAATTGAAGCTAGAGCACCACTGAAAACCTGGACACTGGACAGCCGTTTCATCCTAGTATGGGACTCTTCAGCGGTGCGCATCAACGATTCCGCCTCGCGAGATCCGAACCCAGGATCCCACAGAGTTTAAATTACATTCTCACAGTAACCTTTTGACAATATTTTTTAAATTAGGAATTTAATTAATTATAAATTAAAACGAAACACATTCATGTATAATTTTTTAAAAAGAACTCTTAGATATATGTTATTTTCAATTGTTGATAATTATCAGACCAAATTTCATATTTTCATCTTGTATAATTACAAACATCTGGCATTACAATCTCAATTGTTATATATATGTATATTTCATTCTCCCGGTATGAGTATTATGTTGTTACTATTGTGGTTGTGGTTGTTGCATCTTTATTTATTTAATTCTTTTTTTTTTAACTTTTAGCCTCTGACTCAGAAACTGAACTCACATCGAATTCACATTCAACTGAACAATTAGGTTATACTAAATTTACTAATGTAACAAATAATTCACAACAAGTAAGTGATAATAAAGTTGAATTTATTGTAAATGTAATAATAATTTTACATTAATCATGCATAAATGACTGATTATATTCTATATATTGATTGTCTGAATATTCATGTATTCACAATGTTGATTCAATATTAAATGTTCCATATAATACACCACAAATTATGAGCATTCGTATTTTACACATCCTCGCGTCATTTCATATTAGTAATTGATATTTACTTTGACCATATTATATATTCTTCACTTGAATCCCTTAGAATAAATTATTTAACATTAAAAATGAACATCTTTTTATTGCTTAATAGCTGTTGCTTTATTCTTCTTCAGAACTTGTGGAATAATGTTAAAGGTGTTCTTCGCAACCTTTTTTCGCCTAAGTTTTATCTTTACATGAAAGTAAATAGTAATTATGTGTTCATTAGTGACTAACTTCAACAGGCCGTTCCAGTAATTATAGTGAGAAGCTGTGAGAAGTAGGATTCGAATTTATCGAGTGTATGACAGTTATCCATCGTACGTAATGGAAAATGGTCTCTCAATATCGTGAATCAATTGAAGCCAGACACGTACATCAATGGATTGAAATTCAGCGGTCTAAATGTTAGGCGTTCCCTCGCGAGAACTATGGTCCTAGATTTGACTTTCCATAGTAGAGTCACTTATTAGCCTTGACCTTTTCTATATGAGCATATGAGTGTACATTGCTTACCCTACTTATCACATGTCTTTAGTTCATTTTTGTCTGACTATAAATATCGAGTCACACTTGATCAGGTCGAGTTAGCTCACATGCATTCTCCGCTCTGTTCCTTTCTTCGCTTTTCCACTTATTCTGAATCTCTTTTTGGGAAGAAAAATACTCGGAATAATTTCATCCAACGCGACCCGTATTTGACTTCTTACAACCGCCGTTACACAAACAGGTTTACCCTAGTTAATATACGGAATTAAATGAAAAATTTGTGTCCATAACATATTCATACGTTCATCGGACCACAAAAAATCCAACAGTCTTTAAATTGTGTTGTGATTTCTAAATTTTCACTGAGATGTGAATTCTATTCTCAATACGACTATTTTTGTCATTTCCGTTTTTTGTTACTTTTGCAAATTTACTAAATTTTAAGGATCGGATTAATAAATTTGATCACCTAACGGGGTATATATGATTCTATCTTTAATCTTTTTCCTTTTCCATACCATCATTTTACTACTAAACATAAAATTACTTTGTTCTATATAATTAATTAGCTTACAATTCCCTACTGTATCAGATTATTATCATTCACTAAAGTGAAGAATATCATTTTTGTCTATGATTAGCTACATTTATGTGTTCGTCTGGTTTACATTTCTATTGATGATCCATTATTACAATTTTTGTCATTACACTCACTCCTTAATATTTTATTCTAACAGGAAAGTCGCCTTGAATCTATCCATGACTAAAAAGCGATATATTTCATTGAGTTAAATAGCATACAATGATTTTGGAGCTGTGACTGAAACTCAACACATTGGATATATCGGTGTCCAATAACATTCATATGTTATCTATAAGTATTCAGGTTATATCTCGCTTATTTGCTGCACTACAGGAAATTGGAGAAATCGGTCCTAAAATTAATACTTGTTTTACTCGTGTAATTTTTCCGCTTACAAAATCAAATATATTTTTTTGATAACTTTATCCAATTGATGATAAGCAAATACTCTGTTCTTTCAGATAAATCGGTTTTCTTAAGTACATCAAAAATAATTGTCTGATGTTATGATTAAATCGTTCACTCATGTTTGTGTAGCGTGAAAAACCGCAGAACTTCTTTGTTAAAATATTTCATTATTTTCTCAGATAGTAAACACAAAATTTATTTTCACATATATCTTCTTGATTGTTTTGCTTAACTATTTATCCTACTAAGTAGAATAAACTTCTGATCAAATTATTCTTTAGTATTAATTAATGCAATACCAGATATAAATTTTTGTATAATACAACAGAATTTCGAATAGTCTTCTGCAATCTGTGCCTGTAGAGTTACTCTAACACGGTGAAATAATAGCTAGTAATATCATGCCCTGATTCGAAAAATAATTTTTAGACTCGATAATCCCTTATATTATTTTCCATAATGGCAATCAAATCTTCCTGATTTGACCATCTGGCTCAGAAAACTCGAGAACGCTGGAAGTATTCAGCTAAGCTGCAGATTTTCTACATCATTTCAGACATTCTTGTAGTATTGTTTTTTTGGGGGGGGATTTGGTTTTCATTATTGTTACCCGAGGTTACTGGATTTACGCCACACTTTCACAAAACATTGAAGCTTGACGTTATAAGATCTGCGAGCCTATTACTTGGTTGTCGAGTTTAGTCAATAAATGTTAAGTTCATACCTTTAACGATAATCATGATTACTTTTTTAATGTAAGTCTTCGTATAATCTGTGCATTTTTCCGACTGGTTATTACCACTTTGTTTGCTAATTTTCCGTGTTTCAAAGTTATGTTTTTGTTACTATTTGTACAGAGTACTGTTCCAATTTTTCCTCAGTAAATATCAGTTTTTTCTGTACTAATACTACTTTCTTTCTCGGTTCCATGTTCGGAGATTATTATTAGTGTTGTGTGTCAGTTATTGTAACATCTAGTTTACGTACTCGAAATAATCTTTACTGTTCATAAACAGCGATTGCCATACTTCCAACTGAAATCTTATCGTAATTGTTTATTAAATTTCAACAAATTTTCATTGATAATTATAGATTTTTAGACTTAAGTTATATACAACGTAGAGCATGACATATATGTACGTCTGTTCAATTTCGCATACCATATTGGCACAGCAAGATGAAATTCTCAAAACAGATTCCATAGAAGGTGTCAACTTCTAGTGGAAAAAAATCACTTTGAACACCTAAAGTTATTGAATCATTAGTCGCATTAAAGTTTACTTATTACTCTAGTTGTTATAATCTTCAGTGACACAGATAGGGGAGTTATGATAAATACTGGAATTGGACGAAGAATATATGTATATATATCCACGATGTTTTTAAGGTCGAAAGTCAATATCTTTAAGGATGTTGTACCAATTTTTGAATAATGTCAGCTAAAGAACCAATTAAGCACTTAGACTCGCTTTAACCTCCTTGAGAAATTTAATAGACTGATGTTCAGAGACTAACTGTCTTTATAATATTTGAATAACGTTGTCTCGATATACTATTTGTAGGTAAGTAATAATTCATCCCTAGTTTTACCGTATTCATATCCCATTAGTAAATCGAAACCCTAACTCCTTGTTATTGGCCAGCGTGACCATTATTTCGAGGCAGTTCTCTCGAGGAACTGTGGCCAGTTGAGGTCATCCATGTCGATACAAGCAATAGTTACCGATTTCATTTTATGATCGTTGTGCTAGATTGGGGATTAATCGGTGTTGAAACTGAGAACCATTGGATTCCAACTGCGTGACTCATATGTTTAGTTCGTGCCTTGAGATTTGCAGGTTCTGCTTTCGTTCATTCGGAATTCGTGGGTGAATGATCAGAGATCTCATGCTAGAACGAAACGCCTGTCCAGCACTCTTTGTTTTTCAATGATACCACAGCTAATGTCAGTTCGTTACAAATATCACTTGATATTACTGTTACGTTTTGTTCAGTCATAGTGTATTAATAATTTTTTTCGTTGATTCCTTAAATTCATTGTTTCTTTGTTATTTTTATCTTTAATTTCAATTTAATTTTATTTTTGATGTCAGTAATTTAAAGTAATCCTTAATAAATATAGAACCACTTAGATATATAGTTGCGTATTGGAATATCAGACGTTATTTCACTTTATATTCATTTATTCGAATGGCATTGTTAACCCATCATACTCCCTGTTCTCATTCGAATTAATATCAGTTATTTACTTGAGTAATAATCAGGCATGTGTCACATTTAACTCATTTGTATACTTTATTCCATATTCACAATCACATCAATTGGCTTACTCTCTTGCTTTGAAATTCTATACCTCCGGTTAGTACCCCCTATTTTTTCTATGTAAATACCATATCTACGATAATTTCCATAGCTTATCTGGTTTACAGAACAGATATGTCACTGTTAGAATGTCCTAGTGAACAGATCATAAAGTGTCTACACTTTTTTTGCTGTCCACTCGCTTTCTTCCGGTTACAATACTACCATGTAATAACGGTGTTTTTCTTTGTATAATTGTAACATCACTTTGCGACAATGAGGTTCTCGTATTTAATATTTTCACTTTTTTATTTTAACTACTCAACATTTAGTCCTCTGACAATACAAATCCCAGGAAAGTACATTTACCAGTAGAGGCAACATGTAATTTCAGGCCTACAAAATGTAATTGTGATCCTTCAGTGTTCACTAAACGTAATGGAATACCTATGGATTCAGGCACACCATCAATAATAACAACAAATTGTGCTACTGCTAGTACTTTTGACACTATTCCTACAAACACTGATATTGCTGATATATCTAGAAATAAGGGGGATGATTTGGACAAATTCACCAATCATAATCAACTATCTGACTTAAATACATATGATGATGATCATAATCATTGTAATTTTACCGGTAATCAACATGGTCTTAAGAAATCCAAAAAATGGAAAGTTGGACCTAATGGCCTCCGTGTTCTATCACTTGATGGTGGTGGTATGCGTGGATTAGTTATCGTACAATTACTTCGTGCTTTAGAAATAGCATCTGGAAAGAAAATTACAGAATTATTTGATTGGATCATTGGTAACGTTTTTCATCATCACTAATATTTGTTTATTTATTTCTTATTGATTATGATTATTATTGATTCCTAAAGGTCATTTGAAACGGATGTATCAGATATATTCAACTTAGAGTATGGTATGGATTCAAGTTGGCTAAAGTTGTTATCTTACATCAGCATAACAAAATTAACTTAGTAAGATTAATGAGAAAGTTTGAATAATTTTGTAGCAATGATAATAACAAAGACTAAATATTGTCTTAAAAGAAAGGACATTACATTTCAAAATCTAGAGGAAAGTGAATAGTGGATCCGTCTAGGTCAGTGTGATCGATTCTGAATCACATCACCTAACGTCTCCATCCACTGGTCATAATAATCATGTGAATCATGAACTCTTAAGTGCCTCAGCTCAATTTTCAATGTTTTATGGACTAATGTTATTTTTTGGATTACCCGTTCCGTTTTTTCTCCAACATACTCCTACTCTAACCAACAGTTCACGTTTAACACAGGCGGTTCTTATACATTTGTAATATATACGTCAGCTATTTCAATTGATAGTGATTCACTTAACTCACCAGCTGATTTTTTTGTCGTTGCATAGTATGTATGCTGTTAATAATTATCAAAGTAGATCCCACTAACTAATAAACAAAAGATATTCTAGCTGTATCACGAACTGGTTAGAGTTTTTAAGTATTTACTTTGTCATTCCAAATCATACACTTACTTGTGTAACATAAGTAATATGATTATTTCAATATTTGTCTTTATAATTTTAAACAGATTTATTACTTCACATTTTAAGAATGTTGTTAGAATAAATTCAAACAATCATTCTATTCTTAATTATCTCTTAAAAATTTCCTGCTTAATTAATTTAATGTTTTGTTATAAAACGATCAAAATATTTTTGGAGGAACTTTTAAAAAAATTGACACGAAAATATATAGTTGATTATAGGAATTATCAATACTAATGGCAAGTATAGTTTTTTTTAATCTTTCCACGTGAATGTAGAGTGTGTAGTAAACTGAACCGTTATTCAGTATTGTTACTTTCTGCCAATTTTTTATAATTATTTCTAGTTAGTTTTTGTTCACATCTTTTGTTGTTGTTGTTGTCTACATCACCATAAGTCAAGGTATTTTCTTATAAGAATTAGTGTATAACATCCTGTCTAGTTTACATTTCTCACATTTAGAGTTTTCTACGCTTCAGTGAGTAATTAATCACAATGAAGTAAAGTGCAATATCGTAAGTTTAAGTCTCGTTTGAAACACTAACATATTAGTATAGAAAAATGTGCTTAAAATTTAGCAGATCAATTTTATTCGGATAATCCATTGTTCCGTTAAGAACATATCTCTGAGAAAAAGAACGCGGACGGTCTCATAAAGGCTGTTTACATCAGTAAATAGTTTGTCATTTAAACAACTACGTTTTACAACTAAACAATCTTAATCACTAGTAGATTGTTGTTTTTCAAAGTACATTCATATTCATCTTCTGATTTATGTTTAATAATATTAATGATAGTCGCCATAGTAAACTTTTATCATTGAAATGTGTTGTTTTCGTTTCACTTTCATATGCTTACTATTTCACATGCTTTTATTGATACTAATTGCTCACTTAGTGATAATCATTATTATGTCACTGAATGACGCGAATCCTAATTGTACAGAGAGAAACATTCCACGCAGGATTGTAAAAGTGTGTGCCTTATTAATGAATGCTTACTACTACGAAATTTACATTAAAGTTTTATTAACAACATTTGATGCCATTTAAGTAGATAAATAAAGTATTATTTACTTACATTATTCCAGAATGCGTACTAAGTTTACAGGCATGATTTGGTTGATACATAAAGCAATGTTACATGTAAAGCGCAGAGATACATGGTTAAATTGTCTGAAATAATGTAGTTCATAAATAGTTTCAGGAAATTCTTTACAAGGAGGAAGCAGAGTGAAACCACTAACTCTTAGTAGGTGTTGGGGGTGCTAGATCCCCAGAAATCACTTGGTAAACATGTTATTTTTTGGAAATTAGAACTTCCAGTTTTCGCGCCAAAAGCTTTCATTTTTACCTTCAGATTGTATTTCCAACTTGAAATGACCCTAAATGTCATTGGTTAGTTGTCTCTTTTAATATGCAATTTTGCGACGTTCCCCAAGGACATTTTTATGCTATATATACACTCGAGCTATGTGTTTGTTTTTGTTCGTGCTTCTGGCTACTTGTGGAATACACTTTTCCTCATCTGAACCTGAACTTCTCCCTCTAGTTAGCAGGGATGGGACTCAATGGAATAGTTTAGCTGTCCTGTCACTGCATCGTTGATCCTTCTTCGCGTTCGCTGATTTTTAGGTAAACTCGTAATCTCTTCAAACATACTAGTAGAGGGACTAAGATTATCTTTAGTGCCATTAAAGAGTAATTGCAACTAGAGAAAAGAAAACACAGAATATTAGCAATAAAATTACTGTTACGGGTCTGCCGTTATACGAGTGCCAAGTCGTTTCATGACCTTCTGATTTGGACAGATACTATTTAAGTTAATTAAATTAACTGTGGACAGAGTAGGTGTAAAATACCTGCAAGAAGGTAAACTTAGTAAGTATGCCCAGTAAAAACAGTGTTCAAACTTTTAATATCTCTATAATGTCACTTGTAAAATGGGCTACAGTCACAGACTCATTTTTAATTGAGTTTCGGAGAGGAAGAGGTAACCATAAATTTCTCGAACAAATGTCGCTAGTGATGTTATTTCATGTACAGATTGGTGGCAAACTATTCCAGAGACTTGGAAGTTTACTTGTATAGTCATTGATACCGAGAGAAGACTTAGAATGAAACATTTTCACTTTCAATGTAGAGATACAAATGCTGAAATAGGGTGTTTCGACATTTTGGATTGCAGCAGTGGCTGGAAGAGTTTTTTGGCATTTTGAAGAAACGATTACATTCGGCTTCCATATGAAGTCATTTTCAAGCCTAATGCATCTGGATTTTCAGTTTGAAGTATAATTATCCCCAAGAATGTAAACTTTACATCGCTTCTCGACAAATCCCAACGTACGTTTATTGTTTTTGTTAGCACTGCTCAGAACATAAAGGTGCAGTGTTCTACTTGTGGTCAGACACATATTTTGTACATTAAAATACGCAAGTCATTGTTGTAAAGTTGTTATGTAGTATGCAATCCAAAAGTCGTCACGACTTGTTTTGTGTGTGTGTTTGTCATTTTATGTTTATTTATTTATGTAATCTATCTTATAGGTACTTCAACTGGTGCAGCGATATCACTATTTCTAGTATCTGGCAAATGTTTACATTGTTGTCGTACATTATTATTTCGATTCAAAAATCTTGTCTTCTGTGGTAAACGACCATATCCACCGGAACCATTAGAAATGTTAATGCGTGATGAATTCGGTGATAATACTGTAATGACTGATTTAAAAACAGTCAGGTAATAAATACGCTGTGCTTTTATCGGTTTAATTGATAATACTGACTATTTAAAAAGAAACATATTTTAGACATTAAAAAGAAGAATATATTTGAAACATATTTTAGATAAGATTGATAGAAACGAACACTGGGTCAGAATAAAAGTAGTGTATAGACTTGAACCAGTACAATACTATTACAATGACCAGAAGTAAAAGGTTAATGACTGTATTTTTTATAACCTTTATTGTATTCGTTTGTTAATTAACAAATAAACCACTCATAGACTGTATTATTTTAATGAAGTTTTTTGCTTATAAAAATGATCATTTTGATTTCATCATAAATATTCGCATATACTCACTCAGTTAATAAGTGCTTCTGGGCTACCTGTTCCTGCCATCTAGATATTTCAACATGTTATCTGTTTTTGTTTGTTTTAATATATCATTATGTTTATTAATCGCATGACCTATTCTGCTGCGTTTCTGAAAAGTGTACAACCTTTCGTTGTCAAAGCTACAAAAAACTCAATAAGAGACAATGTGGTTGCTGGCAATATACAGCGAAAAGAATGCACATTATTCAGATGTTCATTTACTGAACCGCTAACATCTAACTGGCGATCACTTAATATTTGTCGCCAGGACCGACCAAGAAGAAAGAAACGGAAACTTGTTGAAATACTTTACGCTAAGAATTCTATATTGTACCAAAAATATTATATTGAATAAAGCTGATAATAATAATAATAATAATAATAATTTAATTTTTTCTGTAATTACCACAATCATTTATAAATTATAAGATTAATGCATATAGAGTTAATGCCACCTTGAAATTGTGGATGACAAACGACTTTATATATGGTCTTGGCTAGAACTTCCATCATTCAGATCAAACACAATACTGTTTAGTTATTTGAACATATTCCAGTTGGTTACATCTTGGAACTCTCTGATCAGTCGGAGAAATAATACAATTACTATTCCGTCTGTTCTCACCTTCACTTTGCTTGTTTATAATTTACCAATAGGCCCTAAATTTGATTTCGTATGAGACTCTATTCATTTGGGTGAGATGTACTCACGAATGTGATAGATAATTAACACTGTCTAGTTTCGTATCTAGTTGTATTCGTTCTATAATGGCAATTAATTTTTATTTGATTAGATCTTTGGCAGAACTATCCTGTTTATTTAAGAATTCTATCTAAACAGTTAATTTCCTTGAGATTTAGTGTAGTTGTTCAAAAAAATACAAGTTCAGTTTATCTAGTCGTGAAATATGCACCAAAGAGATTTTATGATGCAGTCAACCATTGTGGACACGAATAAATTGTTATCTATGAAGTAGATGAACTGTTAAAGCTGCGTATTAGCAATTGTACCAAGGACAGTTTGTAAATCAGTTGACAAAAAATGTAATCAGACGGTAATCTTATTGAAATTTGATGTAATTGTTTTAAATTTACAATTTCATAGAGAATTGAAAGATATGAGATTAAATAACTGTCTCACACCCGATACAGATTAAACTCCACTAGACAATGATCATAAATATATCATTGTTTTATAACTAAAAGTAAGCTGTTTAATAAGCTAGTAATTTTACAACCTCTCTATAGAATTATTTTTCAGTTCTGTGATCAGATATGTCATGAACTTATAATACATTGAAATACGTTACTGTTTGGTTTAATATCTCTTACTAATCTCATTTGGATGTTCTTAGACAAACCAAGCATTAATTTCTCAATAAAACAGGTAGCATTGTTTTTCGTTAAGTTGTTCTACATCGAAATAGTTTCTTCAAGTAATTTACATATATTTATTCGTTCTAAAAATATTAGAGTTGCTGTAACTACACTTGTCAGTGATCGATGTCCACCAATATTGCATATGTTCAGAAATTATAAATCTCCCCGTACTCGAATACAACAAATTTTAGAAACACGTCAATCTGGATTAAAGTCTTCTGTGTATCAACGAACAAACAGAAGAAACAGCGGACTAACTCATCGTCAGTCTACTTCCGCCCTTGAGCTTGATCGTGAAACTCAATCTACAAAATCATCAACACTTTCAACTTCTCAATCTATTTTAAATTTCTTCTCAAATGCTCAGGGATTGTTAATAGGTAGTGAAACAAGTACCAACCTTTCAACATCTGACACTGAATTAAATAATCCGTTTGAACAAATGCCTGAAGATAATGAACATGTAAGTCTTTCTATTTCGTAATTATAAAAAAGCAAATAATGGCAAGAATTTTGATCATTTCAAAATGATAAAGATACGTTGTCATGTAGAAATAAATATAATGAAATCGGATTTTAAAACACTGTAAATAATTTTCCTATGAAATATTTTAGTCATTTAATGGAACGATGACTTAAGTGTTAAAACATTTAGCTTTAAACCAGTAGGTCATAGGTTCGAATTCCTATTTCATCTCCTCCGGTTTAGGAAACTGAGCAATATTCCTATTATTTAGATGGATAGTGACTAAAAGTTCAGTTCATAAAAAAGTATTATAAAGAGCCATTTCTGTAAAGTAATATTATTTATCTCATATTCTGTTAGTTGTTTGAAGACTTTTCAGGTTTGAATAGCTATACTTCATGACATCTTAAATTAAATTCTTATGTATAAATTTATACTTCACTTAAGAATCAGTTTTTTTCATAAGCGTTTAATTTTGATTTAAACGATTTTGAAGTCTTTTAACTGACCATTAATGTTGACCAGTTTAATACTTTACTACCTATTGTCCAGATATTATTACTTGTTTGTTGAACAATTTTATAAAACACTAATAATTCTTCTTACAGTTTTGTTTTTAATTCACTTATTATTTTAACTATTATTTAGCCAATTTGGAAAGCTGCTAGGGCTTCAAGCGCTGCACCGACATATTTTAGACCTTGTGGGCGTTTTTTGGATGGTGGATTAATTTCAAATAATCCAACACTAGATATTTTAACAGAAATTCAAGAATTACAACTTTTACAACGTTTAAAAGTAAGTCATTTATTTAAACTTGTGTGGGATTTTTATAAATTACAGAATATTAAGTCATATATTTTATTCTATAATAATGAAAATATATAACATTACCCAGACAATAACAATTTTGATACTGGTCTAATAGTCTGTTAACATAATCCAGTAATGAAAAATAAAAAAAGCAGAAGAACAAGACAAGCTACACATCAATCAGTCTATACATGTGATACTTCGAATTAAAATTCAAAACAAGAAGTTCAGCGAAGGGATCTCTTTTCATAAAATTTGTTATCTAATTGTACAATTATATATATGATCGATTGACGGCCGAACTAAGTTATTTGTTTTTAATCTTAAATATGAAATAGTCTGCTATGAATGGGCCCAGTGAGGACCCAAATGCGATATCAACTCGTTGTTTATGCGTTTCTTTGTTAAAACTGAACTGGATAATAAAGGTATGACGTAACAATAGCTCTTTCGAGTGGTGGGTCGGAATGTCTACATCTATATTATTGACATCAAGATATTCACTAATGTGGTATATGCTGCTTCAAATTTCTTGAATAGATGCAACTGCGTAACTTGATAATAAATTTGTTTAAAAGAGATCCGTGCACTGAACTTCGTATTTTTAACGTTTAAATTAAATTAAAATATTTAATTTTTAGTTATCTTACATAGGCTTCTTAGTCACTAAATTTGGCTATTTCCTGTTATTTCTGGTGTCGCGTTCGTAATACCCACTTATAATTGGGAACAGGAATCATTGCGATTCCTATAACACAAAGTGATAACATAAGGGCTAGTAGGAGTGAAAATTTATTAGCTCTCCAAAAACACGCCTTACACACAATTCATCCAAAATTACGTCATCAATAAACCAAATACATCCATTTATAAACCGGTTTTACTCACATTTGATGAGTCGTTAGTAAATATCATATAAATGAAAAAATGCACAAGATTTCTGTAAAACGTATACGAAATTCTTACAGAATGATATGGAAAATATAATTGTCACACTGGGAAAAAGTTTACATCTATCATACTGATCAAAATTGACACTTAATGATTACGAAACATATTAACCTGAAATAATGTTAAACTGTGTTAGAGGAGACGTGAAATCGCCTTTTTATCCCAACTTGTCATTTCTTTAACTCATATCCAAATTGTTAAACATCGTTTGACGATCTTACTGTAGTTTGTTTCTCCCTGATTATCCTGAGCTTTCTCTTACTTAAAGAGACATAATCAAAAGAGACAGTAACCTACATTTCTAGGTTAGAATAGCTTTGCTGCAATTAGTTGGGTTAATCAACTCTGAATGCAAAGACAAATTAAAGTACTTATGTATTGCGAGTAGTGAGTGTTAAGAGACGAAGAGATGGATAGGGTTACTGTGGTAAGTTATGGTAGGTGAATTAACAAGACTCTGTATGAACCATAGTAATAAATCGAATTAAAAATTGGCTCCCCAAATGTACTGAATTCCAAATGGGAAGAAACTTGTCAACAAGCCATGACTGCAGTCTCAAGTGAGCTGAAACTCCTCATGAGGTTTAAACATTTTCCAGACGGCTTCGCAATCTAAGATCTTATTTCGCAGACTATTCAAAGGATATGACTGTATGAACTAACTAAGAAGTTTGTTCAGCTTAAACAGTTTAGAAATTACAACATATAATCCACACTGTTACTGCTAAAAATAAAAGTGTGGGTCTTTTACTACTCAAAACGTTCAGTAATTATCATATATTTTAAAGTAAGACTCATTCTTTAAACATTTTAGAATAAACCTATAACTCCTATAGCAGTGGTTGTTTCTCTTGGGACTGGACGGTTGCCTGTAATGCCTGTAGAGACAGTGGATGTATTTCGTCCACAAAATATTATGGAAACATATCGATCTGTACGTGGTTTCGGATTTCTTGGTCGTATTCTGGTTGAAATTGCAACCATGTCAGATGGTGAGTTGTTCGATAGCTTGAAAAAAAATCAAATTTCATGTGAAACTAGTAACTCTGACACAACTAATTGTAAATAATGGTGCATCAAAATAAAAAGCGACACAAACAAATCACCCACAAAAGGGTAGGCAAAGAAAATTAAAGGGTGGTAGTTTTAAATGTGTAATTCGTTTGTTTAAGCTCCAGAGAGTTTAATCAATAAACCGAGGATGAGGATATTTAGCTCTAACATAGCCACATGTATACAACCACTTTCAGGGAAGTCCTACTCACTGCCTTCTCACGGCATTATTGTTGTTTATCTAATTGAGAGGACGAAGAGCGAATGTCCAGCGCTTTAACGGGGTCGGTGAATATGGAGGATCCACCTAGACGAGTTGGAAAACCCTAATTCCATACTAATGGTGCACATGAGCTCCAGGATTCAGAGAACAAATGGCGTATGAACCAATTATTTGCCACCGGCTACCATGGAACTGCATCTCCTTGCTTTGCTCCACTGCCTTGTGGATCAGACATTTAGGTCGAAGGCTCCGGGTGTGACCCCCTAAAAAACAACCTACTTTGGTTTGAGCACCCTGGCAGTATCACAGCCCACACACAAATCAAGTGACTTGTGTGGCGCATATATTTTCGGTGCCCTTTTGTACCAATATTTATGTGTTCAAATAATAAATAGTATTAATAATAATGGAAGTATCGGAATCGTTTTAAAGTAATAAGAATTCACCATTTCTCCTTGTGGCTGACTGATTTAAAGTAGTGCATAGCCCGTCTTTTACTACCGAAGTCAATACATTCAGGTGTCACGACAGAAATTTCATCGTCAGTATTTTCAGTCTCCAACACTTGGTGCCTTTATATCCAATTTTATTCAGGGTTGAAACTTTTGGTTATTGGTTTCTAAGCTGATAAATCAATAGTAGCTATGGTGTTGAAAAGCTTAAATATCTCAGGTTTAATCCTAAAATGATTTAAGCTTGCTTATTTTTCAGTAGTGATGTCTTACTACTTATTAGAAACACAAACATGTCAACTCGATATTTTCCCAACCAGCAGATATCGACGTAAAAAAAGCCTTATAGCAATCAAATAAAGAAATGAAGCTAATCTATACTGTCACTAACCGTTAATTTGAGTATTATTTGGGTTTTGGCGAAAACGAATAGTAAATTCCATGGAAATCACGAACCGATACAAGTTTTACAACTACTAAAAATCTGGAAGAGCTAGACGGTCGTTTCATCCTATCATGGAACTCCTCAGTGGTGCCCATCCACAACCTGTATGTGGTAACTGAACTCAAGACCTTCGGTATTGGGCGCGAATGTCTAACCTTTAGGCCATTGAGCCGGCATCCATCGATACTAATGTCCAACTTCAACCAATTCATGATATTGTGCGACCATCTTTCACTGTTTTCGGTCGGTAACGTCTTCAAACCCGACGCGATTTAGCTCCACTGATCGCGGTTTCTCACTAGAACTCCGGAAATTTTCTCTGGAGCACATGATAATCGCCGTTATGATGTTTTGAAGATTGTTGAGTTTCAATGAAATCACGAAACGTCGATTGCTTCCATGTTTTCAACTGTTGTCTAACTGTGATCGGTTCATGATATCAATGGAACTCAACTTATGATGAATCATGATTATCCTAGAAATCAGTAGTTGGAAACGGTGAGGGTATACACTTAAAAATCACTAATTGTTACGTAAATTCATTCCATCTTGTAGGATCCATTTAGACTTGAATCGTATGGGGAATTCATGTGAGAGACTGATACACACTATTACGTGACCTTATCTTTACATGCTTATAATATATATAAATCATTTTTTATTACACTCCAATCAAATTTAGTCCGTAACGTATTAACGGAAACAAAGAGTACGAAGTTAATCTGAATGGGTCTGTAATATAGACCCAGCACAACAACATCAGAATTTTCTATCTTGTGAACATCTTATTATGTGCTTTTTCTATCCACATGTACTTTCTTGTGAATTTTAAAATTATTTCTTACATAATTAGACATTGGATAACTTGAATTTATCTAAGTAATCTGTAATATTTTACTTTACTTTATCTGCTTGTGTTCAGGATGTTACGGCCCTGAAAAACCACTTACTTGTCATGTTTACATTTTTAAATTTCAGTTTCTATTTGTTTGCACACTGAAATTTTCCTCACGGCAGAGATCCTTCATTCTTACCAAGACTAGCAATACTACTTTCCTATTGATCTTTTATTCTTTTAGTATGCGAATTTTTCATTTTATTTTTATGGTCATTATAAACATATTTACATGCGTTTGGTGTTTGTTTGAATCAACGTCCTTTGATTTCTTCCAATAAATGTTTTCCACAAGGTTTATTTTGTAAGCCAATTGGGCGTAGTTGTAGTATCTTCACATATCTGGCTTTAAACTAACTAGTAGTTCTCTCCATCTAGTTCAATACATCAATTTGTTTAGTTTAAGTGTATTTCAGAAAATTTAATTTTTCTACTCATTGGGATGTTACAAATATATTAATTCATTTGTATTTCCATATTGTTTATTATGTAAACATTTTAAATGAAAAATTTATCTTGTAATTTTTAACATTTTAGGCCGAGTTGTTGATCGTGCTAGTGCATGGTGTGGTTCACTTGCAGTACCATTCTTTCGATTAAATCCTCCATTATCAACTGATATTAGTCTTGATTCTACTGATAGTAAAGAACTTTTACTTATGATTGTTGAAACTCAAACTTATTTACGTCGAGTTCACGAACGGATTGAACTGTTAGCTTCATTGTTGCAATAGGATATATTTTTATGTAGAAATTCACTTGTTTTACAGGTTATTTTTTGAGATATTTATATAATGATTCGTTGATTATAACCATTATTATCAAATAATTTACTATTGTTCAGCATACATACTTCCGTCAAAGTTTACGGAAAAATAAGATTCCCTGCTAAAAGTTATTGTTCCAATTTTTGTTAATCAATTCTTGACCTTTGTTTTCTAATCATTTACAAAGCTTTCGGAATTTCTTTTTATATCTTTTATTCATCGTACAGAATTGATTTTATTTATACTTTGAGTAATAACATTTTAATATCTTATTTTGTGAAACAATTTACGTGATAATCAGTATGCATACATATAGACATACTGCTTCAAACTTTTCCCCATCAGCTTATCTATTTTTTTTTTAAATTCCGATTCCGATTTTCAATGTGTTAAGATCATCAATTGATACATTCGAAAAGAAAATCACTTTTTATGGGAGAGAAACTGTGTATAATATTGTTTTGTTAACAATTAATTAGTTTCACCATAATAGTAGGTAGCTACTTGGGTGGATCTAATGATACAAATTCTTAAGTGGTATGGTGTCTGGAAGTTGTCACATTGAAGCGTAGTGTTGGAAGACAAAATAAATTAGAACGAAGAAAGTCATAAAACATAAAATCCAAACTTATTTCTATGATAATGTTGCTAACCACTATCAACTTTGAAGTAGTTGCGACCATGCTATTGTCATCGTTCATGAGGTTTGCTCTATTGCTTAGGCTAGAGACTAAATGAACATGCACGTGTCACTCGACGGTCAATTTATTAAGTAGGTTCCAGAATGTTCGGTGGGCGAGTAGCTAGTGAGTATGTAGGAAATATCCAGTGCGGGATAACAATATAGTCAAAAAAATGTATGTTAGTGAATAATTAGTCTCATAGAACCATCTCGGTAATAGATGACTCAAGCATTTATTCTCGCTGCTAGCCTTACTACTAACCGCTTAATTGATTCGATGATTTATTCATTTCATTATGTATATATATGTCCATGTTATTCATGTTCATTGCTCTCGCTTAATTGTACTCGCTTACTCGTACTCATATTTGCTGACTCACTCGTTTGCCTGCTTGCCTTTCGGCACAACTCTTTCATGCTTTTTTAACGCACCTGTAATTTTGGATATCTATGTGGACTAGTCTTAAGAAAAACAGACGTAAAAGGATTTTCTCCATATTTGCATGAGCATACAACAACGGATCTGACAGAGTGAATGTCCGGTTAGTTACTGTGCATTGCTCGAAACATTATGTTGAATCTTATTTTGAGAAACATTATTTCTAAAAACACTAATTTACTAGTAAGTGAGATAGGCAAAGACTATGGACTACTAAAGCAAACTTTTCGAACAAGAGATATTATCTTAACGTGACTTGTGTTTCTCAGACGTTTTCTGTGTCCTTACACAACGAAAATACCATTTTTTATACAAAGAATCTATACGGAGCTTAACGTTCGCTAGATTACTTTTCTACTAAAATTTATTTGAATTATTAGTTAACTATAGTCTTGACTCAACGCACTACTCGGTTTAAACGGATTTTTATGTTAAAATGCTAGTTTTGGTTTCAGTAAATTTCAAGTGTTTATAGTACTTGTTTTGATCTGTCTAATCCGTTTTGAACATATTACTTCTTTATGCGCTAATGAAATTTTATTTCAGTCTCGTTAACAACCTGTATTTCACTATGGTCACTGAGAACAATTGTAAGAGACCTGAATGCCTTTTTGCTGTCAGCTATGGTATGCAGTGTGACAAATGCAAAGGTTGATTTCACAGAGGGTGCACAGACCTTCCAGTAACTGCTTACAACAGACTTGGTAAGTTAGATCGCAAGTAGGTACGCGGCATATGCAACGTAAGTTCTGTGGATTTGCTAAGCAACATCACTCTCTTGACAATTCTGAGAAAAAAAATATCGGCAACCCTATAACATGGCAGTCTTGAAACGGACAAATAAACAAAGGCTCGCAGCAAAGTAAAGTGGAGGGTCTTTATCAACATCGGTATCGACTGGATACGCATCAACACCAGCGAAGTTATGATGAAACTGATCACCGCCATAAAATCGACAGTGTTACACACTCTCAGATTTGTGTCCTCAAGCACAGTCTCCTTAAGTGCAATTGTGGTCCCCAAAAATTCTGTTGACAACTGGACACTGTCAACAGAGTTAAAAAAGATCGATTGTCACCGTCACAAATGCTGTACAACATAAGTCTTGTAAGAAAATCAGCTGATGAATCGGTCGTGCAATCTGCTCCTGAAATTAACCAACCAGTCGACGAAAAGTACGAGAATCCGGGCAGCCATCCGACTGCAAACGAAAAGGACCTCAACCTCACCATGCTCGAAAACCTAGGAAGACGATCATAGTTCGTGATGATTATCCCATAATCATGAACCTTGAAAACAACTCTGACCTTTCTGTCAATCCACAGAACACAAACAACCGGATACTCTGGGAGGAGTTGGGTTGGAAGCCCTAACTTACCATAATTTGGCCACTGACTGTTACATAGCTTACCCGGGAAAAGGACACCAAACACTAAAATTATCCGAGACTCTTTTGAGTATCGTTCATCAACACTTTTGACGTGGAGAATGCCCTGCTAGCCAGTCATTAGCTAAAATAAGGAGATATGAGGATGCTGCACGTTGTACCATATTCTGAGCTCAATTTTATCAGGAACATAAAAAAATGACCACGTGAGACGTTCTTTCACGGAAGAAATATTATTGTGCAAGGTATCCCAGAAAACACGGACTCTAATGATGCAGACTACGATATTCAAGAGCAGAAGTTCATAAAACTGTCCTTAAACGTTAAGAAGGTTTCAACGTTTTCACGTGGTTTTAATTTGTTTTTCTGATAGTTTTTCTCTTCAATTTAACAAGATTTATTGGCAAAAAATACTTCATTTCTGATAAGGTGTCTAATAATTTGACACCTCATCTTGGCACTCAACGTCATACACTAATTCTGTAAGTTCTCACGCTGTTCATCTCTTTTCGTTCACTAAACTTAACATATTGGCTCTTGACAAATATTGGATCTGATCCTACCATAGAACTTTATACATCTAATAAGTTATAATTAGCGGTTCACTTAATACAAACCTTATATTTAGGCTACTTCAAATTATGTCCAAGCCATCTAAAACACATACAATCTCTCTTGATGTCTATAGCGCCTGCAAAAGGTCAACTTCCGTCACTAGAGCGAATTATGTAAAGCTTTATAAACACACCGATCAGTCTGTATCGTACTCCGATCTTCCGACAGCTACACTAGACGTGCACTATGTACTTGAACATGACACGTCATTACCTTGAATCTTGCTTACAGATATAAATAAGACCGGCCACAAACCGTTTGGGTCGACATCACTTAGCAGTCCACTCAAAAGCGTCACATGTTGTGAGCAGCTTTCAGGAAGTGCGGCTGACCCAAAACACTCAACAAATCCACAGTTAGCCATCCTGTGTGGCGGCCCACAGTGTGCATGTAAGCTTGTCTACAATAGCCAACCCAATGATCTAGATCTTTACTACTTTATTCTTCAACTAAGTATGCGCAAAGTGACCACCCAATAGACACTTGCAACAAGTCTGTATGCAATCATATCGACCCTGACAATTTTGATGTAAAATCTAATCATTTTGCCAGTGACAGTTCCAAGAGCAGTCAAATAGAACTTAGCCTCACCCAGACTATTCAAAAGTTACTAGCGTACAAATATCCAATCATTGTTCCGGAAAATTCCGATCTCGAAATCATAAAAAAACACTGCAGAAGTAATTGACCATATATCATCTGAAGCGCTGACAAGACTATAGTGTACGTAGAATTTCATTGTGTATAATATACCTGATAGTGTAAACGTAGTCTTTTAAAAATGTCCCAACAAAAGAATGTGGATTGTCGCAATCTTAGTGATTAACAAGAAGTTTACGTAAAACAAAAACGAAGACTTCTTATTCCATTCTCCTTTAGTTTGGTAGTATCACAGAATCCATTCACCTCCTTAATAGTCACTCATTACTAAGGCATATCCCAACATTTAAAGATATTAGAATCATCTATGACAGGATTGCTATCCAACGTCGAATCTTCAGTGAATTTCAAATCAATCAACCCAGCCTGCGTAGTAGCCACATTTACAATGATCGCCACTGCACAAACGCTAAAACACCATTTTCTATCCCTCCTAAAAAAGGAGGCACGTTGCACGCTGCTACTCGTTCTACGAACAAGACTGCACATAAAGCAGATGCGGTTGTTCATTTTAAACCCAAACACCCAACTACTCCCAAATACCAATCCACTTATGTTTCTATAGTGCCCCAGCATTGCCCTAGTGGCTCCGATAAAATCTCAAAATAGCCTAAATATATTCCTCCCAGAAATTGCTATAAGAGCTATAGCCGCTCGATCACCGCAGTACGAAATAACACTAAACCCTCTATAGAAACACATAAGTGCTCCAGCGCCCTTGACCCACAACATGCACCTGTCCATAGAAGTAGAATGCCCTTCAGAAAACATGGTGGACTGGCGGTACCAATTCATCCCAACGTGTGACTACACCCGACTAAAACCACGCCTACACATAATACCAGTAAGCCTTATAGGGCGAACCTTACAATCTCTGTGATTCAGTACACAACCGTGCGTAACACAAACACCTCCCCTGGCAGCAATGCCGCACAATCCCCCATTCCTTGCTTCAAACATGCGACCTTCTCAACTACCCATAAGAGGACTAAGATTGCACACGGCCCACAAGGAAGCTGTAAAGTTGGTCTACTTGGGAACCCACCTAGTGATTCTAGATACCATCAAAGTCAAGCCACCCTATACAACTCTGTGATCTCCCCTAATTCGACATATACACGACCTCATCCTTTTTTATCTCCCTCCCCCTTGACAGTGCTGCTATGGGGTCTCTAAATGTTGAGGGCGAAAATCCCACTATTTTGAGACCATCCCCTATGTTCTCCGACCCAATGCGGGAATGACATATCTTTCTTCCCACCGATAACTGTCTCTGGTCTCGAAAGCTCCTTGGCTAAACCCCTTGACCACTTCCCAAATGCAAAACCTATCTATTCAACTCACTCGACTCTGTCATTCCTAAACATACATTTCTCGCTAAACTACCCTTCGACTACCTACCTCACACCAGCTACATTGATTACAAAACAAACGAACATGAATGTGGAGCCGGTACTCCTACTTCTTCCTCTCCTCCTCATGACAAAACAGACAATGCACTACATTTACATCGCACCCTTCTATTAGACAAATAAACACCGTGCCTGACAATTATGTTAATCAATGCTCGATCTGTACAAAATAAGATTACTTAACTACACACGCTATCACTTTTAGACAACCCTTCACTTGTTTTGATAATGGAAAGTTGGTTGTCCTCCGATGTCACAGACACCTATGACTGGGGAGACTTTCGATTTCCAATCAAGTACTCTGACTGGAGCAGTTACTTTACCAGTGATAACCTCTTATAACATTAGAAATATTCAATACCACCACCAAATCTGCACTAGACACTACTATACCCTCTAAAATTGCTTTTAAAACAACTACTCCAGAAATAAACCAAAAGACTAGGTCTAAACTGCGGAAACTGAGAAGGACGTACTACATACCAAAAGATTTCAGTGCCCTGCACCAGATATACTCTGTACTCGATGGAGTACAAAGTCAACACAACAAAAATCAACAGGCTGTGGAACGCACTGCGCTCACTGCCACATCTAAAGCCCAAGCCATACGTCGTCTCCTCGCAAAGCGCAAAAGAAAGAACGCAGATCACAACATTCACTCCTTACTGTGCAATGATGTGACGTATTATGACCAAACCATCATGTGTGAACTGTTAAGTGAATAGTTTTCACACCATGTGAATATATCTCATGTCCCAGATATTAGCATTAAGTGCATCAGCAAAAATTATTTCAGTACCGTAAACTTTGGTCTCATTGGTATATACACTGCCATCAAAACCGTTAGACCAAATGCGAGTTCTGTTGCCGAAGACATCTCACCAATTATTTATAAAATGTCAGGACAGGACATACGAGCGCTATTACTCAAAATACTCACATTATCTTTAGAAGCAGGTACATATTCCGAAATCTGGAAAGCGGCGTACGTTATCCCCAGAAACAAATCAGGACTGAGAAACCTGGTTGAAAACCACATACCTATAAACACCACCCCAGTTATATCACGCATAATGGTAAAAGTGGTACAAAATAACTATCTGATCACCTACTTAAGGGAGGTCTAATAGATCGTCACAACGCATCTTCTATAGAAAAGGGTCCTGCATTACATGCCTGACAGACTTCTTTACCGAGGTTACTCGCATACGTGACTAAAAGAAACTAGTAGTTACACTATACTTTGTTATTAAGAAAGCTTTTGATAAGGCACCTCACAACCTCCTAATCATCAGACTTCATTCGGTTGGAATTACAAACAACTTATTGTAGTGGATTGAGTCTTTTCTAACGAACAGATACTAAATAACCAAAATTTTCTCTACATGATTTACACCTCGACCAATAACCAACGGTGTTGTGCAGGTTAGTGTCTTGGGTCCATTGCTTTCTGCAGGTGGTTTAACACAGGTAAGACCTACCTTTACGCCAATGATTCAAAAGTAATCTAAAAAACTAGCATTTACGATGTACGTAGTACCATACAAACAATCCAACATGAACTCAGCAGGGTTGACAACTGGTGGAAGCACTGGAGGTTGGAGCTCAACACACAGAAATGTGGCTGGCTGTGTATCAGAGACACGTCTATTGAAATAAAACTAACATTTAGCAAGAGCACACTGCCCAGACTGACATCAGTAACTGACCTAAGTGTACATTACTCTCACAGTCTTAACCTTTGTGAATGTATCTCAACCAAAGTATCGAAAATGCGGAAATTGTTAGGCTTCACTCTTCGTTACTTCTTTCACAATGAATCTAAAAACATCCTTCACAAGGTATATGTAAGACCTATCGTTTAATACTGTTCGTTCTTATTTCCCAACTTATGAATATCCGATATATATAAGATGGAAGAAATACAACGGGATTTCACACGCATAGTACTGAAGACCGACTCACTCGTTGACTACAGTTTCCGGTGTCACATCTTAGGACTAGAACCCCTTTAGGAAGTAGGCTTAGGTTCAATTTGACTACTTCAAACTCTTCAAAGGCATTACTTATCCCACATGTGATATAGTTCACGCCCAAGACTCTTATTAATACGACCATCGAGACAAAGTATCTACGATGAAAGTTCAGAAATACAGATCAAGAACTCGGAAAAACGTTTTCCTCATCAAGTGTGCAATAATATGGGACGGTCTCTTCCATGAAAGACGCATAGCCGATGAGTTACATACGTTTTTGAGACTCACTTGCGCTGATCTAGGACTATCAAACACATCTAGGCTCTACTCAGACGTCATGGGCTCTCTATATGTATGGACCAAATTGAACTCTGCAGTTGTATTAGATACTTTTCCCGGTAAGACTGTGATTAATGGACGACATTTGAGTGACGCCTTGGTGACCTTGACAGTGTCTACCCACTTACCAGGGCTAAATGTTGATTATAAAGCAGTTCGAAGGATAAGGATTAGGATCCACAGTTGATGGTTAAGGTTTGGAATTAGATCTAGTATTTTCATCACGAACTAATATCAGCTAAGATGGCGAGACGCTAAATGGCTGAGTTACTTTCGCGTCAAAATTTAAGGCGTTATCCTAAATACGATTGGTTCGTCCATAACTTGTAGTCTCTTTCTCTTTTCCCTCCTAACATTTCTACTTGAAGTAGACACAAGTAACTCAATGGAATTATCGATGTTGATCAACCAAATTTGATCGCTCAGGGACGCTGATTACTACCCTAAAAAGTTGTCAAAAGAACCGCACAATCGACCATCTACTAACAGTGATACCCACCTTTGGGGCCTGTGACCCATCAACCAATTAGGTTAGCACAAAATAAGATCATAACCAAGTTTATTTGAGTTCCTTCTTGTCTATTCTTTATCAGCTTTCTACTCTCCTGTACACTATGCTCACTTACCATTAATTCTGTTTCACCATTCGTTAACTCATATATTCCCATACTTTTCCGACTACTTCGGTAAACAACTATCCCACATTATACCCTTCTTAATGCCTGTACTTTAATTGGTAATATGTACTTTATACTATAGACAGTAATAACATTACACCGAAGCCTTACCCACGGTCCATAATTGGTAACTGCTTGACAAACTTATAGAATGGTACTTATAGAAACAGTATTTTCCAACAGTACGTAGTGTAGCGTCGAGTCGCTATTGACTATGATCACCACTACAGGAAGACTACGTGTCAGTTAACCGATAAGATCCCCGTAAGCCAAACATCAGAAAGCAGTTGATGGCTGTAGTCGAGATGTATTTGCTGGCGATCTCGTGGTATCGAGAGAATACCGAGATCGTGTCGAAGGAGTACAAGTGTGGTTACTGAGCTAAACCGAATTCGTGCAGGGTCACAATCAACGGAAGAATGTACGCGTTTTCAGATTCAGATTCAGATTCAGATTTGTGTAGTAAGGACAGAAGGCCTACGGCCTATGTTATTCCTTTTCTAGTATGCTTCTCTGAGTGTCCAGTCTTCTCTTGAAAGAGTCAATTGAAGGTGCGGATACCACTGCTTCAGGCAGCAGGTTCCAAGTATTGATGACTCGGTGTGAAAACCTGTATGCCAGGGGTATTTTGTTCGTTCTTGGCTTTTCTACTCGCCTGCTATGTCCTCTGAGGTGTCCCGATCTAGTGGGAAGGAAGAGAGAGAATAAGTTAGGTCCGAAATCATTTCTTAGTATTCTGTACATCAATATTAGATCTCCCCTTAGTCTGCGATAGGACAGAGTAAAGAGGTTCAGTTTTTCAAGCCGCTCTTCATATGATAAACCCCGGAGTTCCGGAATCGCACGCGTAGCTGCCCTCTGTACCTTTTCTAGTATGTCTGAGTCACCTTTTAAACAGGGGCTTGCAGCCTGAACACAGTTCTCTAACTTAGTTCTCACTAAGGATGTGTATAATGTGGTGAACATGGTAGTATCAAGCTTAGTGAATGTCCTTTTTAAAGCCCAGAGGGTTCGAAACCCCTTAACTGCGACCTCCCGGCAATGGGCCGTCGTCTTAAGATCATTGCTCACTGTCACCCCTAGGTCCTTATGAGACCGGACTATGGGTAATGACACATCCCCTATGTTGTACGTATTAACCTTTGAATCCCCCAAGTGCATGTAGACACACTTTTCCGAGTTGATAGGCATTAGCCACTCTTTAGACCAGTTTATCATATTATTTAAGTCCGCCTGAAGAGTAAATGCGTCTGTGTCACCAGTTATTACTCGCCAAATTTTTACATCGTCAGCGTATAATAACATTGGAGACTGTACTATACTTGTAAGATCATTAACGTACATTATAAAAAGTAAAGGACCTAGGACGGAACCTTGGGGTACTCCACTAAGTACTGGTCTCCAGATGGAGCACTTGGAATTTATTCTTACTTTTTGCCTACGACCTATTAGGAAATCCTTAATCCATTTTAAAAGAGGTCCGGCAATACCAAGGTTTGCCAACTTCAATAGCAGTCTATTAGTTGGCACCTTGTCAAAAGCCTTACTGAAGTCTATGTAGACAACATCCACTGAGTTTCCGTTGTCTAGCGCATTAATCCAGAGCTCCCTAGCTATAAGGAGGTTCGTTGTACAGGATAGACCCTTTCTAAAACCATGTTGTGCCATGTTCAGCAAGTTATTGGTTTCCATAAATGCCGTTATGGTCCGTTTGATTATCCCTTCCAGTATTTTAATTACAACACTGGTGAGGCTTACGGGTCTGTAATTTGATGGAACTTGTCGTAGACCAGTTTTATGTATGGGAGTGACGATTGCGTCCTTCCAGTCCATAGGTAACACACCTTGGTCAAGTGACATTTTGAATATCACAGTCAGTGGGGCTGCGATATATTGGGCAATATGTCTCAAGATTTTAGGGTGTAGTTCATCTGGTCCTGTTGACTTCTCCATGTTTAGGGTGCTAAGAGCCTTAAGCACATCGTTTTGGTCGAAGTCCACGGTGAGCAGCTGGTTTGTTGACTCTGTAATTGGGTCTGGTTCTTTCTCTAGAGGAGGTTCCTGAGTGAAAACTGCCCCAAAGTAGTCAGCCATAATCTCAGCTTTTTCCTGATCTTCCTCTATCATTTCAGATTCACTTCCTACTTTAATTAGGTTGGGAATCCAGTGATGAGTCCTTGTTCTGTAGTTTATGTACGAGAATATCCTCTTGGGCTGCTTGAGTGCAGATTCTGCCAGCTGCATTTCGTATTTTCTTTGCGCTTCCCGAATTTTAGTTATACACACGTTTCTTATCGATCTGTAGCGTTCCATCGTACCTGCTGTGCCAAGGCGGATGGCAACATCCCAGCATTTCTTCTTTTGTCTTAGTAAGCGTCGAATATCCCGCCCTAACCAGGGATGTCCGTGCTTCTTTTTCTTTGGGACAGTCCAGGGTATATATGGTTGAGTTACCCGATTGTATAACTGTCTGAATAGAGTCCATGCCTCTTGTACTGATGCCTTTGAGTCAATTTCCCAGTTCTCAGCCGATGCTGCGGAGTTAATTGCCTGCATATCTGCCTTCCATATGTTAGGACGGGCCGGCGCAATTGTTTGACAAGCAATCTCAGCCATGAATTTGAATAAGATGACTGCATGGTCACTTCTCCCAAGTGGTGGGAGAAAAGCCTTTTGACCAACGTCATCACCGTGTGTAAAGACTAAGTCTAAAAGAGAAGAAGAGTTTCTTAAGTCGTACCTTGTGGGATCTCTAATGTGTTGGAATAATGCTAGTCCGATCGAGGTTTCTAACAGTTTGGAGTCGAACGACGATATAGATGACTCTACTTCTAAGTTAACCCAGTTTATATATGGTGCATTAAAGTCGCCTACTACAAGGCTTTTACCGTTGTTACACCAGGACTTAAGTTTACTGAGGAGAAAATCATCTGCTACACATTCTGGACTGCGATAAACTACAACTAATTCAATATCTTGCCTTCGGCATTTCAACTTACATCTCACCAGTTCACATGTCCCTGAAACATGTGCTACTGTCTCAGCTAATCTTATGGTTAGGCTACTTTTCGTGTACACAATAACCCCGCCTCCCCTTCGGTTTAATCTATCAGCCCTACTGGTTATGAAACCAGCCAATTGGATTTCACTATCTAATACTTCTGACGTTAACCAAGTTTCCGAGACAGCGATAACGTCCGGTTTTTCTTTATCCACCACTGACTTCAGCTCCGCCATTTTATTTAGTAGGCTGCGAGCATTTGTGTAGCACACTTTTAAGTCTGTGGAGAGCTTTCCCTTGCCACCCAGAGTGGCTTGGGGATCGTTTTGCTCCGAACTTTTACAATCTGAAAACCCTTAAGAACGAGGTTTCTTTCACCATTTCGGCGACGCTCGTTTATTTCCGCTTCTGCAGCCCTTCTCTTAATACGATCAGCTAGGCTGAGGTCCTCACGGACATATATTCCGGACCCAATCAGTTTACGTGAATTACTTAGAACCAGGTTCCTTTCTTCCACCGTGTTGAGTGTAACCTTTAGGAGGCGGTTTTTCTGAGGACTTTCGGAATCCACCTTTTTTCCTATTCTATAAAGCTTACAAATACTAACTCCTGAAACTGTATCTGGGAGTAGTTTACTTAATGATGTCTTGATATGATTGAGATCATGTTCAAATCTTGCCTTTGGTTCAGTGTCTGAAGATTCTCTTATCTTATGAAAAATGACTGATCTCTCAGAGAGATCTGTCTTTTCACGCGGTGAGGATTTTTCTT